TAAAACACCTCAAAGATTTAAAAATTTGGGTTAAAATGCAAAGCAAATATTCATTTTATTGCTTACTATTATTATAGTTAAACCTAAATTATTTGATTACTATTTAAGAAACTCCATCTACCATATTTTGATAAATAAGAATATCAAATTTACAAACAGTAAAATTATTACTAATGACTTCATTATGATATATACTATTCTACAAAACTTCTTAAATTACTTTTTCATATACTGATTTTAAAAGGTAAATTTCACTATGAGTTGTTGAAAAAATAATGTTTGCCCATTTAGATTTTAGATATACAAATATTGGATTTAAGTCATCTTACCAGTAAAAATGGTTTAAAAATCTCTATTTAAAAATTGAAGATTATTAATCCAAAAGTTCTAAATTTTCTTCACCCTTATTTTTTGAGTCAATTCTTTAATAAACCTTTATATATTTAGTTATAAAAATGAAAAATAATCATGAAAGTATTATGTTATTTTCCTAAACTACAAAATTTAAGATATAATCAAAATTTAATAGTTGAAAAATTTCAGAATAATAATAAGGAATTTTATTGATAAATATGTCAGAGATAGAAAAGAATTTGATTTCAGTTAACAAAGATTATCCCAATATTCTATTAATTTTTTGTATTAACTACTTTTTTAGTTAACTTTTTTCAAAAACAAGGTATATACTAGTCTTTGAAGGTTCTAATAAAAGGATTTTAAAGTCAAGTGGAAAATTAAGTTTGATTTTGGATTCTGATTCAAATTAACAATAATCATACATTTGCATCTTAACCATATTAAGGAGAGTAACTAATTTTTCAAATTATGATTTACTCTCTTGATAAAACATCGTTCCCTCTAAATAAATTCTTACTTATAGATTTCTAGTAATAAAGAATTACAATTTTATATTGTTTAAGAAAATTTCAGAAATTGAATTTGATCGACAAGTTAATGTGAGTGGATTTAACAATTGATAAATTATTAAACATTGATTTATTTATTCAGGATATCATACATCAAAACTAATCCTAAATTTATTTTTTAAAATTAACTATCAAGGAGAATAAAAATAGACCACATCAAATGATTGTTTCAAATATATTTTAAATTTTATATCAACCACAATGAAAAACTATAAACCATTTAGTATTGTTCTACAGTCTAAATCATATAAGCTCTTTATTCTCTTAATCTTCTAACAATGCTAAATATTGATAACTTTGCTTCTTTTGAATTTAATAATTATTTAATTTAACAAATAGACAAAAATGTTCCAGTCCTACCGATTCCAGCGCTGCAATGTACAACAGTCATTTTATTGTTCAAGATGGAACTATTAGCTTAATTTGCCAAAAAATCAATGAGGACAAAATTATCTTCATTAACCACTCCGAGATCAGGCCATCCATTCCATTAATAATGGTGTATTAATTTTTCTTATTACTGGAATTTTATTATAAATTAATTCGATATTAAACCACATTTTAATTCTTCTGATTTTTTCAGTTTTACTTCATAAGGCCCATAATCATTTGATATATCTGGCCAGTATTTCTCACATTATTTCTAATTATAAAGAATATTTACATAATTATGATCATACAATTTGCAGAGCATAATTATCAATCCAACCTCGTTTGTCCAAATCATATGCCAAAAATCATTAACAGTTGAATGGATTGGGCCCTAAGTAGCAATATATTACTTATCAATGTTATCTATTCCTCTAATATAATTTGCATTAATGTAAAATTATTCATTTACATCTGATTTTACAATAGTGTGTATACCTTCATTAATTCATTTATGATTTACATGGTAATATATCAATATATCTATTCAAATGATGAGTTTTTTCATTCCAAAAGAATAATTTCTCATGTTCTTAAGTCTCTGTTATTTAACATAAATAGCTAAATTCTTTTTCTAATCTTCTTTAATTAAAGGATTTGACAAACTCTTGTAAATTTATTGCCATTTCGTATTTCATAAACTAGTTATCATTCTATTTATATGACAAATCAATTGGAAGTTATTCACTTTCTTTTTATGGGTTCATGAATCAATTAGCAATTAATTAATTTTAAATATGGTCTTATTATTAAGAGTCAAATATTGTAAAAAATAAAAAATTTAGGAAATAATTTTGCCGAATCTTATTACTAATGCTGAAATTCAGATATATTTTAAACATTTTTTGTTGTTGCTCATTAATATCTGCTGCAATTAGATTAGTTTCATAACTTATTCTTTAATATTAAAATTCTAATTCAACTTAGATTTTTGATATTAATTACACAATCTATTCAGGAGCAAAAGTATAAAAGGGTAAAATTCCTCTTTGTTCATAAGAGAATGAATATCAAAATCCTAAGTTAAACCACCAAATTGAGCTGTATTTAATAGCTAATAATTTTCACTTTACACTTTCAACCCAAAACTATCCTGAACAATTATATTATTGAAGATTACCCAATAATATATATATGATTTAAAAAGTATAATATTTTTAATTCTCTTTTTATAGCAGATTTGCTGAATTAACAGAGAAGGATGCCTTTTCTTAAAATTTTGTGACCAAATGCTAGCGCTTAAAAAGTGTGATTTAATCTTTTCATTATATTATGAATCGGCAAGACATAAAGCTTAATTATATTAAATAAAAAATAGAATCCTTGTATAAAAACGGTATTTTATGATTGAAAAATAAACATATTTGGTACTTCTTTTCTTTTATAGATTTCTCNGGAACTATTAGCTTAATTTGCCAAAAAATCAATGAGGACAAAATTATCTTCATTAACCACTCCGAGATCAGGCCATCCATTCCATTAATAATGGTGTATTAATTTTTCTTATTACTGGAATTTTATTATAAATTAATTCGATATTAAACCACATTTTAATTCTTCTGATTTTTTCAGTTTTACTTCATAAGGCCCATAATCATTTGATATATCTGGCCAGTATTTCTCACATTATTTCTAATTATAAAGAATATTTACATAATTATGATCATACAATTTGCAGAGCATAATTATCAATCCAACCTCGTTTGTCCAAATCATATGCCAAAAATCATTAACAGTTGAATGGATTGGGCCCTAAGTAGCAATATATTACTTATCAATGTTATCTATTCCTCTAATATAATTTGCATTAATGTAAAATTATTCATTTACATCTGATTTTACAATAGTGTGTATACCTTCATTAATTCATTTATGATTTACATGGTAATATATCAATATATCTATTCAAATGATGAGTTTTTTCATTCCAAAAGAATAATTTCTCATGTTCTTAAGTCTCTGTTATTTAACATAAATAGCTAAATTCTTTTTCTAATCTTCTTTAATTAAAGGATTTGACAAACTCTTGTAAATTTATTGCCATTTCGTATTTCATAAACTAGTTATCATTCTATTTATATGACAAATCAATTGGAAGTTATTCACTTTCTTTTTATGGGTTCATGAATCAATTAGCAATTAATTAATTTTAAATATGGTCTTATTATTAAGAGTCAAATATTGTAAAAAATAAAAAATTTAGGAAATAATTTTGCCGAATCTTATTACTAATGCTGAAATTCAGATATATTTTAAACATTTTTTGTTGTTGCTCATTAATATCTGCTGCAATTAGATTAGTTTCATAACTTATTCTTTAATATTAAAATTCTAATTCAACTTAGATTTTTGATATTAATTACACAATCTATTCAGGAGCAAAAGTATAAAAGGGTAAAATTCCTCTTTGTTCATAAGAGAATGAATATCAAAATCCTAAGTTAAACCACCAAATTGAGCTGTATTTAATAGCTAATAATTTTCACTTTACACTTTCAACCCAAAACTATCCTGAACAATTATATTATTGAAGATTACCCAATAATATATATATGATTTAAAAAGTATAATATTTTTAATTCTCTTTTTATAGCAGATTTGCTGAATTAACAGAGAAGGATGCCTTTTCTTAAAATTTTGTGACCAAATGCTAGCGCTTAAAAAGTGTGATTTAATCTTTTCATTATATTATGAATCGGCAAGACATAAAGCTTAATTATATTAAATAAAAAATAGAATCCTTGTATAAAAACGGTATTTTATGATTGAAAAATAAACATATTTGGTACTTCTTTTCTTTTAAGAAAAATTATATAACATAGATTTTTAGTATCAATATTAATTTGAGAAATAAGAATAATTAATTTATCAACATAAATTTTAACAAATATAATTTTTTGTTATTTAATGAAAATATATTTTATATTATATCATATTATTCATATCTAGTAAAAATATTTAATGATCAAAATGCAAAATAAATTATATAAACTGATAATGTGAGATTGATTTTATCATTGAATTCAAATCTTAATAAGAATATTACTTTTAAGCTTCGATTTTTTACTGAAGTTTATAGATGCGTGAAAATAGAGTTATCTTATAAAACTGTTTCATTTTTAAATCAGATTAGCTAATTTTCATTTAAATATCAATAATAAATAAGTTAAATTGCATTTATTTATATAGAAATATTAAATATATAATATAGAAACAAGATAACCTATTTTAGGCCTATCAATAATATGATATAATATTGATTTCAATCTAAGTTAAAAAGATTTTTAACTTAAATTTGAATCAGAAAATAGTAAATAAAATTATAAAATAAATTGTTTTTGAATTACTAATGATGGATAAATACAAATATGGTATTTCATTTGACTCATGAACTAGCTTAATCATTATATAGATCCAAAAATTACAAACACTCTTTTATAACAACATAATTATGTTGTAGAGTTAAAGTTTAGCATATTTGGGAGTAGACAAATCTGAATGATGAATCTGAAACAGTAAAAAGTGCAGCCCTGCTATGTAGATATGATGATAAAGGTTTAATTAAATTCATCAAGAGAGTGATTGATTCAGCAGATACTTATACATATGAATAGTAGAAATGGTTACAAAAGGCAATATAAAAAATTTATAATGAATCATATTAAGAGTTGTCTCTTCATGAAATTCGTTTTTTGATAAAAGAAATATAAAAAGAGCATGAAAATAATAACAAAACAAAAACCATATGTTGTCTTTAACTTTTGTGCTAAATTTTACTTGGACTAGGAAGAATAGATGAAGCACTATCAATTTGGCCATCCTTCATTGGCTTAGAACCTACCTAATTGGTTGGCTATCAGAGATAAGGTATATATATAAAAATAATATAATCAACAGCATAGTTATTAGCTAAATTGAAAGACAAGGAATCAAGTATTGAAGTTTGGAATCAGTATTTAAATAATAACAAAGAAGAAGAATTCACATATTGTCAATAAAAAGGTATATTTTAGACAAGAAACTTTAGCTTAATTCCTTTTTATTCAATACGAGAAAATGGATGAAGCAGTTTAAGTATGGAATGATTACATTCATAAAAACCCTAATTATCTAGATGCATATATTCAAAAAGGTAATTTGATAAATAAAATAATAATATTAGCTGATCTTTTACATTAGATGTTTGATATTGAAGGAGCAATAGCTGTGTATGATGATTACATAAATAAACATTAAAATGATTACAAGGGATATAGAATTAAAGGTAAATATAATTAAATATAATTAAGCTGACTTTCTTGTGGCCTTGAATTAATTTGATGATGCAATAGAAGTTTGGGAAAGATATTTGTAATTATTTCCAAAAGATAGAAAAGCTTATGAGAAAATGGGTATTATCTCTTTTATTATAAATAGTTATGGTAGTGAATCTTAAATACTAATGATATCAGCATACAATTAATTTTAATTTATTATTATAAATAGATGAAGTAATTACTTCAATCCAATTTAGTATAATAAATATATATAATTTTATATAAGTCATAATAAATTATATACTCAATATAACCATCGAAATATTAGTTTAATTCTATTTTTCATGTTTTGATTTTACAATACATCTTGGGGAATTAGCACTAATATTTATCTAAGTGATATCATTTTTTTTTATTCCAAGAATATCCATATAGAGGATACACATAACATAAAAATGAAATAGCTTTAAAATTATTAATATATTATACAAAGATCCTAATACTAAATAGTAAATTTCCATTAAGTTAATAATGCTTTGGGCAATATTGGAATTATCAGCTTTAAACAAAGTCAAAAAATCCAAAAAAGTATCTTATGTATCACAAAAATATGATAGAAAATAATTTTAAAAGGATTGGCTTTAAATTGCAACACTGTTTTCATCTTTGCTATTATACTAAAGTAAATTCATTTCTTAATTATAATCTGAATCTATGTATTTTACTAAGGAGGCTGTATAACCCAAGATGCCATTTACAACTAGATTTTGTATTGAATCTTTCCTTATAATTTATAAAGATTTTATTTACCTAGAATAAGACAGATGCTATTTAGAAGGATCACAAGATTGAATCTCTTCCCAAGCTTTTATTTAGCAAATATCATCATTTAAGAAACTATCAAATGAACTCACTTAATTATTTTTATTTGCATTTTCTAAAATTGTAGTTGAGACTTCGTTTATTATCGATAATAATGAATTTTTACATTCTTTAAATAAGAGTAAAGTTTCTGTTTAATTAATATAGGATAGATTATTGTTTGCTAGCAAATTTTCTGTTTTAATAAGACCTCCAAAAAGACTTACAATATCCATTTTTATTCTAAATTATCCATATTTTAAAGTGGCATGTAGGGATGGTTAAAAATTATCATTATTTTTGACAAATAATAAATAACTAGTTAATATATATGTGATCCAAATAATAATAATCCAAATAATAATGATGTAATTAATTTTTGTTATGTGTTTAGTTTTTTTAATTCTTGATGTTAAGGATGATTCAGAACTATTTGGTTTGCCAGAAAATTCAATTTATTTCTACTTGACTCTCTTTTTTCCTTCATTTTCAATCATTATCTAAGAAAAGTTCTCTATTTTCCAATTTTAAGAATTGTTAATATCTAAAATTGATTTAATAGCCATCAATTTAACTATTTATTCGACTGCTTAATTTTCATTTAAATGAGACACTAAAAATAGGATGGACTTTTGTAATTTATCAATGAAAATCCAATATTTTAATTGAATCACTATTAAAAGCAACACAAGAAATAATTAAATGAGTATCAATCTTTCAAAATTTAATACTATCTAATTTTAAGATGAAATAGTATCTTCAATGATTTAAATAACTAAATGATTTATCTAATTAGCTACTTATAAAATATTTAATCTAATAAATCCAGATGTATATAAATCTTCATAATGTGGATTAGGAGAATTTAGGTTCATTCTATAAGCAGACTCTGTAACTTAATTCAACATAATATAAAAATTCTCAACATTGGTAGTAAAAGTATTTAGGATATTATTTGTTACTTATTTAATCTCAAACTCTTTTATTCCTTAATCTTAGGCTAATTTTGGAACTTTTATATTTAAATGCTTTAAATATATTCTCCCATTTTCAAACATCGAAGCAACTGTTTCCAAATTTCTTTATTCTTAAAATTCACTGAGTTTGATAACATTTTATTATTGCAATTAAATTGACCATAATTAATAAATGACAGAAGAATAATAATAAGTTATGTTTTATGGTTCTAACAAATTCATTACTCCAGTTGTTTATTATTATAGATTTTATACAACTACTAAATAGTCTGCCAATGATATTACTAAAATACAAATCAACATTATAACCAAAATCATGACAATTTTTTATAGTGGCAAGATAAGTTAAGTTTTGGAATATATTTATTCAACTAAAAATTATGTTTCTTTTTAAGTTGAACAAACTGATGATCTTGATGGATTAGATGCAAAATCATTGTTTTCTTCTTTTTTATTTTCATAAAATTATAATTTTTCTCTTAATTAAGATTTGCTTCTACTTTTTTCATCTTTTTTTTTACTAATTTGAAGATCAAGTTTAGAATGTTTCTATTTTTTCAACTTAAATTATTAAAATTGCAATTACCTATTCATTATGATCATTTAAATCAATATCTTCTATATTATAATTTTCAGAAAATTTGGATTTCAATGCTAATGGTCCTAATTATGTTCTATATGTATCCATTTAACCTTATGTTTCTGATGATCTTAAAGGGATCTAATTTTTAATCAAATGCTACTCAAAACTTTGATTAGCACTACTGAAGTTCAAGTATTCATTTTCCTTTTAACCCTCAGGTTCAGGAGTATCATTTACCGCCTTAAATTCTTATTTTACTTCACTATTTACATCATATTACTCTTATTTGTTCACACAGGTAATAGATTAAGGCTAAGGGGGATTTTGGGATATTTAATCATCTAAAATTGCTGATCTAAAATTTTATTCATTATGAACAGAATTAGAAAAGACTGATTAAGTAGATAAGACTTTAAAATCTGTTAAAATTAATACAAAATAACCAATTTTCTTTTTTTAAATTTCAAAAGTGTTAAATTGTAAATCATATTAAAGTGCTAATTGAAATTAAGATTTTGATACATCTCCAAAATCTACAATTTCAATTAATTAGGATTATAAATATGGTTAAAGTAAAATTATGGGAATTCCATCAATTTCTTTATCATCAAATTCTACATGTTTTGTATCATAAAATGTTTAACGACTTCTACTTACATCAAATTTTTATTTCAAAATTGATAATTAAGGAATTCTTTTTTTATAAGATCTCTCATAATAAGAATTTTGAATTTTAAAAGGTTCTAATAAGTTTTAAGTTGACATTAAACATTATTAATGATTACTTGGAATTATCCAAGTAGATTTTTAATTAGTTAACTAATATGATTTAGTTTTTGAATATTACTTTACTAATTCTTATATCTAAAACATAATATTTGGAATATAATATTGGATTAAAGGTTTTTTTTCTAAAAAAGATTTTATGTTTGATTCATCTTTTGAATTGTTAATTCTTTTTTCATTTCTAAATATTTTCATAAAGTGATAATTAGATTTAGCAGCACTTTCATAAAACTATTTAGTTAAACCATGAATTGATCCATCAACACCAAACAATATCATATCATTTTATTATGTTTTACTCATAATAATATTCATCATGAGATCATTATTTTCTGTATCAAAATGAGGATATATATTGAAAACACAAGGTTCTATATACCCTTTTGAATTCTAAATGTATGTTTTCCTGCTTGTTTTTTGAGTCTACGTATAACCTTATATTATATATTTATCAATTAGTTCATCATGAATATCAGATAAAAATTATGGCATTAATTAGGAACAATGTTTAATTAATTTAAGATCATCTTCTTGTTCATCTAAGAAGATAGACAGTTTCTTTGTATCTAAATTAATAAATTCTCCTCTATTTTTTATTAAACTTGATTAAAATATAAATACTCTATCTATTATAAATCTATTATTTACTTTGAATTAATTAAATACTACTTAATGGCTCATCTTAACGAAATCTTTCATTTTTCAATTGTTCTTCAATTTTCTTTTCAATTTTAAAAGATAGATATTAATTATTGTAAATAGAAGAATAGTATATTTATATAATTCTCATACTTAATGTCTCAGAGATGATGGAATTTTTTAATCTTTCATTTACCATATCATATTTTTGATTCATTAATTACTTACACTATATAATATTTTAAGAAAGAGCAAGAGCTTCATTAATGTAAGTATTAATATTATCATATCCTTTTATTAAATGATTATAAAAGTTAATCTTTTACATGATAACTTTTTCAAAAATAGGGAAAATTGATTCCTATGAAAAATAGCATTCAAAAACTGTTTTAGTTCTTAATTATTTAGTAATATTCTCTTTTTTTTAAGCAAATACATCTTTTTCAGATAATTCAAGTAATAAATCACTTTGTTATTTTAAATACTTGATTAAATTTTAAGAAGTTCCAATGAAATACAAATTTCTGGTTGAAATTCGTAGTAATTTTGTTAAGGATTTAATTGGATATTTTTCTGATAAATAATTGCAATATTGAATTAGGTAATTTAATTCTGATGTTCCTTTTATGATAGTTTTGAATAAACAATTTATCATATTAGAAGGTTATTTACATTTGGAACATTTATGTAATTTGAATACAATAGATGTTAGGATTTAATTTTCTTTAAAATTCCCTTTATTTAATGATATCTAAATTAACTTAATTATAATTATATGTGATACTTAAAGTGTTATGATATTTGCCTGATTCTAAGTCATTATGTACTACAATATTAGTCTATGTTAAATTTAGATGGTGATATATATGAAAATGGCAACTAATAATAAATATTCACAAATATAAATTCCAATAAATAGACCAAATATTGTAATTATAGAAACTACTTTTATCAATACATGAATGAAACAGTTATTCTTATTGATTTATTATATAATGGATATTCCTTACTTTAAAAAAACTAAGATCACTCTAATTATTTATTATTATTGATAAATCTTTAAAATAACTGAAAGAATCATCAAAACTTCCTTGATTATATTATATACCATTTAGTTTTCTAAAACTATAATATTGTTATCTCCTGTTAATGTTTGTGACCTTGAAAAATATAATTGGATTAATTTCATCAATATACATATAGAGAGATTTAAAGAACATGAAATTATCAAAAAAATCCCATTTGAGTTTAGTGTAATAAATGTTTGATTCCCTGTTGCTACTTAATAAAATATTTCCAAAGAAGAATATATTACTGGTGTATATATTAAAGATGTATAATAGATAAAACAATAGTGTAAAATTTGGAATGAAAAGGTACTCTCTTTCTCTTCTCGTATTAAATGTAAAACAAAAAGTGACACAAAGGCAATGTGCATAAAAAAAAATAAATAAACAATTAGTGAAAAGTAAAACTGAGAATTTTACTCAAAAGCCAAACAATATCTAACAAATTAAAAGATGAGACTAATTCATATATAATTCTTTGAATACTTCATTTCTTTATTCAAACTTAAACTTTAATCAACTGTAATACAAACTTCTTAGGCTTTAAAAATAATCGATATCAAAATTTCTATGCTAAGTATAGAATTGTGAATTGAAGATGAATGAATACATCTACAAATGAATTGCGAAACCTTAATAATTTTTTCTCTAATCATAAATATTTATCAATACTATTAAACATAAATCAATATCAACTAAAATATAAATATTAAATATTTCAACATATAACACTCCATCTACACAAACATTCTTTAAATTGTAACTAATAAATAACTAAATTTGACTGAACTAAGTTATGTAACAAAGAGATTCTAAATTTATTGACCAACTTTTATTTTTACAAAACTATTGATTGTCTACATTTGAATTTTATTGTTTTATAAATAAAAGTTTTTGTGTGAGAAATTAAAAATATCATTAAAGGATTTTTAATATATTTTAATTTATATCTTTGTTTAAGTGATTCCTGTTTTAATTTATAGTTTTATAAACATAATTATTAATAATCACAAACAATAATTTATATTAAATTTCACAATTAATCATTAGTTTTATTTACTTGATTTTATAACTTAAGCTTTGATCTGCGAATAAAGTAAATCATTAAAATAATAAACATCATAATCAATGGGTAAATTAAATATGTTTTTGTTATCTAAATTGATATATTTATATCATCATTAAACAATATTAAAGAAATTTATTCTTCTGATATTTCATTTTAAGCAAATAAATTAAATTCAATTTCTTTCTACTTTTACCCAGCCTCTAAAATTTCTATCTCATAACCAATCTATCCTATATATATATCTTGTGAGGATATTATTGAATTAAAAAGATAGTGTGTAGTATTAAACTTTGATATTTCATAATTTTTCTCAGAAAAAGCAGCTATCAAATTTATACTATTTTTCAATTTTAAATCATACAAGTAATAATTCTGGTTGATCGATAGATAGATAAAATCTTCATCAAATTTTTAATGTTTTTCATATGTAGAATAATCAGGAGTTTTAAGAGTTCTACTTACAGAGTAAATGCATTCTTTCTATAAAATTTAGCATTCAACCAATCCAATAAAAATAGTTTTTTTGGAAAAAATTATTATTTTAGAGATTATTTATTGCTGCTCTATCTTAAAAGACTTATAAAATATTTAAGTACCAGAAAATAGAATTTAAGATTCTAATTCATTTTATAATAATTCAAATTAGAATTTTTGTTAATCTAACTTATAACTACTATTAAAATGTAATTAATTCTAATCTAAATAATAGATGCTAATTAAGCAAAATTAAAAGTTTTGATGATTTTTCATTAACAAAAATAAGTTCGAAGTGTTATTGATGATAAAGAAATCATCATATTAATCTTAAAATTCAAAGTGCAATTCTGTAACTTATTATTCATGTATTAAAAATAATCGTATTGACTATTGAATTCTTAGCATTATTAAATTACCCTCTTTCTTGCATTAGGATATCGGAAACTCCATACATTCATAATTTTGAATAGATTATTCTAAATACATTGAATTAAGTTGGTTAAATTCATAAAATTAAAATATACATAGATCTTAATGATGGATAATTATAATTAGTTGATCATTTTCTAATAGATAAATTTAAGATATTGGTATAAAACGAAATAATCGATGATTATTATTAACTATTTTTAGTATTTTATATTCGTTATCTAAGTATATTAAATATATATATAAAGTAGTAATTCCTTAATATTGAAGAGTACGAATTTGGAAACATGATTTTTAATCTAAAGGATTATTGCATTTTTACAATTATTATCGTTTTAAAAAAGGCCCATGTAATTCTAAATTAGAAGTATTTAATAATTTAAGTTTGTAAATTGGACCAGTAAAATAATCTTGAAAGCTTAATTAAATAGAAGATTGTTATTTACTATACAATATTTGTTAACTTTCAGATAATTTCTTTATTTTTTAACAATAGTTACTGAATTACAATGTGATATACTAATTTAATTCAGGAAAAGGTTATATTTAAGATTAAAATATTAAGCTTTCGTTAATTGTTAAAATATTTTAATATTAATCTATATCTTAAATATTCACTGTGAAATTGAGGTAATCAAATTAATAAATTTAAAGTTTTTTTTCTTTATCATAGAAACATAGAAACTAGAGCGTGGAAAAAAACTCTAATCTACCTATTTCAATAATTTACTCCAAACTATAGGTTAGCATTTCTTTTAAGTTAATTATAAAAAGAAACAACTATGCAGATTAATTTTTAATTGCAATTATAATTCTTCCATAATTACATGAAAGTTTTAACGGGATGTGGATTTAAAAATGATATTCATTGAGATTAAGTTATTCTTAAAATATTAAAGTTTAATCTCTGAATTAATAATGTATTATCTTATTTTACAATTAATCTATTGCATAAAAAACTATAAAAGATTTTTCAAAATATGAATAAATTATTAAATGATCTTAAAATGAAAATACTGAATGAGTTTCCTAAAATATTATATAAAGATGTTTTTCATATTGTATCAAAATTTTTGAATCTCTTTGTTTAAAATACAACACTTAAGTTTGATTTAACTACTTTTCAAATTTTTCAAAAAAGTATTAAAATTACGACAAATGTATTACAAATATATGATTACTATCTTCTGGTTGGAAAACAATCTAATCATCGAATTAATTTATTTATGAAATCTTTTCAGGTAATTTTATTATTTTATAAGAGTTGAGAGATTGTTAAAAATCAAAAATCTTAACTTATTATAACTCTAAATAAACTAATACCATAGTTCCTATGTAATAAAATACTTATATTGATTCCTAATTTTAAACTAAACTCTATTCTAATTGTTCGCCTCTACAAGCTTAAAATATATATTTTTAATCATTTTTCCAGACAAACTACTGAGAAAGAAAGCCTTTGTTATAATAAGTCAGGAAATAGGAAGAGTCTTTTGAATTATATCCTTTAATTTTAGGTTAACAAATTAATTCCAACTCTTTTCTATCGCTTATAGCCACTATTCTAGAATTTTGACCCGTTTTAACTGTAGTAGGTCTATTTGATTTCATATTGAACTTTGAAAATTGTAAAGAAATGTAATTTTCACTAAAACAACTCAATCCAAAATCCAACCGTTCTTCAAAGGTANAGATAATTTCTTTATTTTTTAACAATAGTTACTGAATTACAATGTGATATACTAATTTAATTCAGGAAAAGGTTATATTTAAGATTAAAATATTAAGCTTTCGTTAATTGTTAAAATATTTTAATATTAATCTATATCTTAAATATTCACTGTGAAATTGAGGTAATCAAATTAATAAATTTAAAGTTTTTTTTCTTTATCATAGAAACATAGAAACTAGAGCGTGGAAAAAAACTCTAATCTACCTATTTCAATAATTTACTCCAAACTATAGGTTAGCATTTCTTTTAAGTTAATTATAAAAAGAAACAACTATGCAGATTAATTTTTAATTGCAATTATAATTCTTCCATAATTACATGAAAGTTTTAACGGGATGTGGATTTAAAAATGATATTCATTGAGATTAAGTTATTCTTAAAATATTAAAGTTTAATCTCTGAATTAATAATGTATTATCTTATTTTACAATTAATCTATTGCATAAAAAACTATAAAAGATTTTTCAAAATATGAATAAATTATTAAATGATCTTAAAATGAAAATACTGAATGAGTTTCCTAAAATATTATATAAAGATGTTTTTCATATTGTATCAAAATTTTTGAATCTCTTTGTTTAAAATACAACACTTAAGTTTGATTTAACTACTTTTCAAATTTTTCAAAAAAGTATTAAAATTACGACAAATGTATTACAAATATATGATTACTATCTTCTGGTTGGAAAACAATCTAATCATCGAATTAATTTATTTATGAAATCTTTTCAGGTAATTTTATTATTTTATAAGAGTTGAGAGATTGTTAAAAATCAAAAATCTTAACTTATTATAACTCTAAATAAACTAATACCATAGTTCCTATGTAATAAAATACTTATATTGATTCCTAATTTTAAACTAAACTCTATTCTAATTGTTCGCCTCTACAAGCTTAAAATATATATTTTTAATCATTTTTCCAGACAAACTACTGAGAAAGAAAGCCTTTGTTATAATAAGTCAGGAAATAGGAAGAGTCTTTTGAATTATATCCTTTAATTTTAGGTTAACAAATTAATTCCAACTCTTTTCTATCGCTTATAGCCACTATTCTAGAATTTTGACCCGTTTTAACTGTAGTAGGTCTATTTGATTTCATATTGAACTTTGAAAATTGTAAAGAAATGTAATTTTCACTAAAACAACTCAATCCAAAATCCAACCGTTCTTCAAAGGTATAACCTTAAAATTAAAAATTATCTTATTCTTCTATTTATAAACAATTTAGAATATGAAAATCTTCCTTAAAAAGTAAGTTTTAAGCTGTAATTTATAAAAAATATTTAAAGGTATTATATTGAAAATATCCAAATTAATTTTGTAATTTAAAGACTTTAATTGAATTCTAAATATAATCATACCCATATAGTAAATTATTTATTTTATCATATTTTAAGGTTGATAATGTCAATTAATAATTCTATATTATCCTTTAATTAATCATCACAGAAATCTATGAGCTATATTAAAATATTAATAAATTCTTAAAATAATAAATATTTTAAGGTATCTAAGTTATACTTATATAAACTAAATTATTAAATACACTAATCTATTTACTAGTAGTTTCAGAAATTAATACTTAACTATAAATTGAACAAGTATTATCAAATATTAAATTAAATATTTAATTTTATACTTCAGGTACATATAAAAACTTTATGGAAACTAATTCAATATCAATCACTAGATACTAATTTCGAAAGATTAAATATAAATTATTTTAACATAATTAAATATTTGTAAGCTCATCATTTTAAGTAAATTTATCATTATTAGTTAAATTATTAATATCGATAATTTTTTGAATAGAAAATCCTTTATAAAAATTCACACTCCAATCCTTACATTTAGTATAACTAATTATAAATTAATCTTCATAAATAGTTTTTAATATTTTTCTAGAGCATGAGTTAATATTGGTTTATTAAATGATATTATATGTATATTAGGTGTCTAAATTCATTGATATGATATAAATATTTGAATTAGAAAAACAAAATATATTGATGACTTTTATTTCATTTATAAAAAGGTCTTCACAAATATAATTTTCATTAGAAGGGTATTTGATTTCAGTAGTTACTTCAGTACCAAAAATAATTTGATAATCTACTAGATATTTATGCATTCTCTTTTTACAAGTGATATATTGAGCAGTAGTATTCTTATTCAGCCAACAAAATTGTTGAATAAAGTTTAAATTATTATCATCCTTATTAAATATAAAGTTTGGCAATATGATAACATCTTTATTAGAATAATTTTAGATGATTTAAGTTTCTACCATTATCTTATATTAAAGCTGAAGCATAGAAAAATTTGAGTCTTTACTCTCTAAAAATATAGAATACCCTGATGTAAAGTAGTATTCATTTTTTCGAAGTTGTAATTCATAACAATTTCTAGTATTTACTTATTCTGCTTAATGGCATGGTAATAATAAATGTATTAGTAAAACTAATAACATAAAGATATATATTTTTATTTATATTTATTATAAAAAGGGACTCATATCAATTTTTGGCATGTGTATTTTACCAATAGGTTTTTGATTTTTCAATATCTGGTTTAATGGTGGCTTATCCTGGTTTCCATGAAGCTGGACATACTTCTCCATTTTTTTCAACAAATTGGAATGCTTATAATAATCTTAGATATTCATCTACATTTCTATAAATAAAGATTTATTATACCTTCCAACTGGGGCATCATTAATAGAAGCATGACGTAAATTTTAATTACCATCAATTAAAAATGTTCCTCTTAATGAAAGTCCACTATCTGTTAGAACTCCATAATCTGAAGAGATTTGTTTGGTCAAATCAGATAACAAGAGAATATCCAATCCTCCTAATCCTCCATCTGCTTTAGGCTTCTTCACATATTCAGCATGAGAATAGACTGAATCAACTGAACATCCAAGGACTTCACAGTTATGTTCTCTAAACTATTTAGCTAATTTAGAGAATTAGATAATTTCTGTGGGACATACAAAAGTGAAATTCAATGGATAGAAGAAAAGTAATAAATATTTGCCTTTGAAGTCAGTCAATTAAACTTATTCAATAGCATTTTTAATTGGATTCCTTAAGAATATATCTATAGAAAATACCATGCATTTGTTTTGAAGAATGGGGCAGCTTTTTATATGATTGCTTTTCCTGACATTTAATGATTATGGAATAATTAATGATTAATATGAGATTATTCCTAAATAATTTATATATGCTTGTGATATACTAAATACTATAAGTCTATAATAACTAAATTCATATTAGATAAACATTAATTGAAAACAAAAACTCAAAGAAAGCAAAAACCTAAGAATAGTAATACAATTATTTCAATTATTAATTAAATGTCAATAACACATGAATATTTGAGAAAGTATTCTTATAATCGATGGAAAAATTCGTCAAGACCCATTTAAGAGATAACTTAATTAAGAAAAGAAAACAATCCATCTATTGTAGATATACATTATGAAACCCAAGAATAATTTCAAAAATTAAATCCAGAAATTCATGTCTCATAAGAATATCCTAGTGAAAATCAATTGATTATATCTAATTAGATTTAATAATCTAATTCATATGATCCTAATCATGCATTTACAAATACAGAAAATTAAAAAAAAACATAGAAACATAATATATTTCAACCACTTCCAAACAGTAACCTCATTCATTAATCCCTTAAGATTCAAAATTAAAAAGGAAATAACTTTGTAATAACAGAGCAATTTAATATCCGTATTGATCCTAAAAACTAAACTAAATTTAATAAATCTATCTAATTAAATGAGGATTCTCTTAAATAATCAGTTCCTTAAATGCCATAAAATTAATATCTTTTTCTATAAACTAATTAAATCTCTTAATATATTGAATTATCTTAATAAGTTGAATAATAAAATGAATTGAAAGAAGTAAATTAAGAGTTAAAAGAACAAGAATTATTTCTTGAATCTAAATAGGAATTTTAATTCAAATCTGATTTTCAATCATCTCATCCTAAATATGAAACAGAAGAACAACATTTTCCTTAAGTAGTACAAATGGATGTTGATTTTAATAAAGATGAATATCTAAAAATAATAGATGATTACATTGAATTTATTAAAATTACTGAATACATTGATGTATAATTAATTGAATAAGAAATCTTAAAATAACAACACATTTCTTCATAAAAATAATTTATGTTTAGGATTGATCCCCTAATTACTAGTATGCTTTTTGAATAAATACCAAATAATCCTTATTAAAAAGAATCCAATTAACCGTATAAAAAGATGGATTATGTAGATTTTTATGATGCACTTAAAAATTATAAAAATCAATTAGAAAAAGATTTATATATTCCAGATTTAAGTGATTTTATGCATTATCAATTATCTTAGCAAACATTTAATTTCTTAGAAATAAAAAGATAATAGATTAAATGGAATCCATCACTTTTTAAAGCATTATAAAGTAGTAGAAATGAATTAATTACATTATTCTCTATTTACAATCAAATAAAAATGCCAGATATTGTATTGTTTGATTAAGATATTGATGCTTTTAAAATTTAAATAAAGTAAATAGGTTCTAATTAAATAAATATATTTCAAAATTTGTTTAGAAAATATAAAGAAAAAACAATAAAAAAGTTGAAAGACTTAAAAGTAATCAATTAATAAATGAATAAAAATAAATCAATTTTAATTTAATCATAATAAGAACATTAGTATTAGAATTAAGAATTTTAACATCAATTAGATGAATTTAGAAATAAATTAAAAGAATATTCACATAAATCACCTATTGATTTTAAATAAGCAATGAGTTTAATCCAAAATTTCAATAAGTACTTCATTATTATATATTAGTATTTAATAATTTTTTATTTAGATAAAATAGTAAGAACATATTCTTGAGAAATAAGGAATACATTATATTCCAATAATCTTTAATTAAGAATAGGAAATGATGAAAATATTTGATTTGATGTATATAAATCTTAAACAAGAAATCTTGAAAACTAAAACTTTATTAACTTTACCAATAGGAGAATTTGCATGGGAACATCAATTATAATAAGAATAGGAAGCATTAAATAAAATAACAAGGAGACTTTGTCTTCTTAATTAATTTTATGAATAATCCATTTAGAAATACTAAACTGAATATTAATTTATTAGATAATTAAAAAAAGGATAACAAATTATGAATGATAATATAAATGTTTTAGTCTAATACTTAGATATTAAAAAGGTTATTTAGAATTAATAGATAAGTATATTCTCTTATCCAAAATTATAATTACAATAAATAACAATTTAAACATTAAATTATCATGATTTAATTGTTTAAACAAACAATAGAGTAATAGCTATTCAGTAATTAAATTAATATCAATTTATTGAAGAATTAAAGTAAATTTTATCTTTAAAAAATTATTCTTAAGTTGAAATCTCTTTATTGAAAATGAAAAATTAGTTAAATTCCCTTAAATTTTCTAAATTAATTTAAGATGAAATTAATTTATTACATACTTATATTACTTAAGCATTATGTTTTTTTCCTAAAAATGTAATTGATATCTTTGTTCAGACTAATACTTATGAAGAACTTGAATTATAACTGGGAAATATTGAATAATTTGAAACTTTAGAAAATACTAATTTTGAAAGTCAATCAAAAGAGTTATTTGAAATATTTATGACATTTTTTGAGTCTAAAATATAAAACTAATTTGATGAAATATTCATTCAATTATATGAAATGAGTAAAGAATAAAATAGTGATTGGAATCCAATAAAATTAGCTAAAAGAATAGATTTATTATATGAATATTAAAGGGAAGATATTGAAAGCAATTAATATGTAAAAAAAGAATTAATTAATTAAATTATTGATTATCCAGATTTAAGATATTTATTTTAAGAAGCAAGGTCACTTTTTAAATAAATAAGAGAAATACTTGAAAAGGAATAAGATATAGAAAAAACTAATTAAACTATTTTGAGTTTGATTTTAGATTTTGAAGCTCCAGAAGGAATAGATTAAAATTTGATTGATTTAAAACCTTTAGAAAGATTTCATAGAAATTTTAAGAAATTTGATAAATTTACACAATTAAAAAATGAAATTATTAATTTAGGATTAATATTACAATAAGAATATGGTTAATATTTATTATGTTGTCAAAGTAAAATAATTAAATTAGTTGATTGTATTGAATTAAAAATAAATACATTAGATAAAGAGATTTTAGATAATATTTTATTTAAACCTCTAAATTTTAATACTTCAGTACCAATCTATGAATTACATACATTATTAAATTATCGTTATTCTGATTTTTAATCTATTTAAATTTAAAAGTTTGAAAACAATTAACAAAGAAAAATTGTATTATTTTCATAAAAAACAAAATAAAATTTTGATGAAGATATTGATATCGTCTTGGAAGTAATTTATGATAAATCTAAGGTTCATAATATTGGAATATATGTTGATTAATAATTATGTTTTTCATGTTTATGATAGTTAATTTAAATTATTATTATTTATTGAAATGAAAATTGAATTATCATGATTTTAATAAAATGAAAATATGAAATAATTAATATTATATGTAATTTGAATCAAGATTTCTAAACAATACATTTTCTTTAGCAAGGTCTTTATTCAATTTACATACATGTTTCATGACAAACTTATTTATGTTAATCTGTATTTGCAGTCAATTTATATGAGTTAAGACATTTTGTAGTACAATTTATTAATTGATCTTGACAATCAGTCAAACAATCTGAAGAAACAATCATGATTATCCAACAAAGCAATATTATTTAATTCATTTTTAATTTAAATTAAATTTTTATGTTACTAATATAATTGATTATCTATTTGTATTCTTATAAATAGAATGTATAATTAAAGAAAAACAATAGAAAATATATTATGTTATTTAAATGATATACGAATACAAATTAAATAACAATAGTGGTTTCATTTTTATTTCATACCTAATGATAATATTCTTTCTCTTGGATACTAAATAGAATTTATGCATAAAATATATACTTTTTTTTTATGATGAGATCCATAATTTAATTCTTTAAATTTGTATTATTCTGGAGCTGAAGCATTTAACAATTCTTTTTCTGCTTCAATTAAAACAGTATTCTTTTTAAAAATATTAGTTTTCTTTTCTCTTGATTTTTATCTAGAAGAGACTCGAGAAGTTTGTCTTGATTTTTGTTATTTCAATTTTTCATTATTTAAAATTGCTAAAAATTTATCAATATTATCTCTTGTTCTAGTAATTTCCTAAGTCAGATTAGTTCTTAATTAAGTAATATCTGATCTATATATAAATTTATTTTAATGATTTACAATCTTAAAGTATCAGTTACATTTAAGTCTTGAGTTGGATTTGTATAAAATTTTCTTTTGCTAATATCTTTTACTTTTTCCTAAAAATAGATATAAATTATTTACTAATCTCTTAAATTTGAGTTCTCTTTCTTAGAATCTTTTCATTTATAATAATTATGCATGATCCATTTTCTAGACATTTTTAGTTTCATTTTCTTCATCTTCATCTTATATTTAATCTGATTTAATATTTCTATAACAATTATCCTCCAATGTAAGAAGATTAACGCATTATTTATGCTTTTAATAATTATTGATATTATCTGATTCTATCTTATTAATAATCTCTTCTCTCAATACACAATAATTCATATATTGTATCATTTAAGGAAAACTTAAAGGAACAAATGTTAATTGTTGCGTAGGATTTATTTGATTGATTTCGTAATCTTCTCGAATTTTTTTCATTAATTAAACAAACACTATAAAATGGAAAAATAATGATACTATTTAAAGCTTCTTGATTTTGAAGAGCTTGTTTAAAATCTGTCCAATTTAATTTATCTAAAAAAAAGAATATTTATATTAATACCATCTTCATCTTCATCAATACTTTTAAAGAATTCTTTTAGTTTAGATTTGGTAATATTTATTCCATATTTAATAAACATATCATATAATTCAGATCTATCTAGAAATTCTAATAATATTAATGAGATAGTTTATACTTGATTTATCTCTGTCAATAGAGTTAAATACTGCTTTCATCATATTTTATTCTTTTAGTTCTGATTCATAGAGAATATATTAATCTTTTACTCTAGATTTGTAACGATTTCTTAACCATTTTATGGTGTCGAAAGTTTTGAGATTATAATTCATAAATTTTATTGTACGATTATAGATAATCAATATCATTTTTTTGCTTATTGTGCTGCCAAATCTTCGTCCATTTGTTTAAGTTAGGCACCACCTCTGAGAAGACCTGATCTTCTGGCAGCAACAAGACCAACTTTTTGACCAGGAGGGGCATATCTTGAAAGTGTTGATGGATGACCAATATGTTATTAATTACCACCACCATGAGGATGATCGACTGGATTCATGGCCACACCTCTAACTTTTGGCCAGCATTTTCTAAGTCTTCTATATTTATGGAATTGTCTTCCTGCCTTGAGAATTGGCTTTTCAGTTCTTCCTCCTCCAGCAATCAAACCTAAAATAAATTCAAATATATTACCTACTGTGGCTCTGCAAAGAGCACTAAGTGTTTTTCTGGTACCTGATGGTAATCTAACTCTTGTGGTTGTTCCATCATCTGAATGACCAATAATAGTGGCATAACAACCAGTTGCTCTTCCCAATGCTCCTTTATCTCCTGGATGTTCCTCCAAGTTGCAAACTACTGTACCCTCTGGGATTTAACCAATAGGAAGAACATTTCCTGTTGCCAATTAAGCTAAGATTCACAATCTAAATCTTACCTTTTGCTCCGCAATAAATGTATTAGCCAGTGTATGATCCTTCAGGAGCAATGAAGAGCTTAGTGACTTTTGAATACTTATATGGATCTTTGAATTCGACCTCAGCAAGTGGAGCTCCTCGTCCTGGATCGTGACGAATTGCAGTAATTACACCTCTGACATAGCCATGTCTTTCAGCATAATCAAGATGTCTGTATTAAGGAGATCCGATTCTTTAATTTTAATGTGCTTTGAAAACACTGTTTGATTTTCCCTTTCTTTATGCTCTGATTCTCTTACCCATTTTTTTAAAAGATTTTAAAATTTATTTTAAAGGGCAGTGATAAATTCTTTAATAAACATCATTAATTCTGGAATAGCTAATTTCTAATCTAAGTCGATGACAACACTCATAATCATGATAAGATTTGATACTTTTTTCAGAGTTACTTTATATATCACTAGTAATCTAATCCTCTATATTGAATGTTATTTTACTTAATGAATCATCTAAAATAGATACAAAAGATACCATTATAAATGAAACATGTAGTTCTATATTGCTTTACTTAGAAGTTCATGAATATTAGTTCTATTCTATTGTAATTTTACAATATACTTGATTGAATTTTTGAATTCCAAACACTTATACTAAATTTTAATCTAATAGTCTTACATTTTTTAATTTTTCAGTTAAATTCTTTACTCTTTTATGCAGATACAAATAATGAAATATAAAATGTAATTTTATATACTAGATTCTAAATATTTGAGTTGAAGAATTGTTATTTGTTAATTTAATAGTGTTAGCAATTAATCAAACAGAAATAGAATCTAAAATGTTATTGATTGATATGTAAAGATAATAAATTTAAAACCAAAAAACTTGATGATGATTTTCTCCATAAATATTTCAGTTTACTATTCTAAGATATTTAATTTATTTTAAGTATAATTAAGAGATTCTTGAATTATCTTTATAGTTGAAAGTCAAATTTTAATTATCAATTTGGTCAAAAGTAATATGAATTGATTGAATATACATTATATTATTAAAAATGATCAAATAATCAATAATTTTTTTCAAACTCATATAAAGCATCATCATGTAATTTAGACTAAAAATATTTAAGTATAATAATTTACATCTTATTCATGAATTTAAAATTGCCAAAAACGATTGTATTCATCTTCTCTCTCTTCTTATGCATAATCATGTTTTTATTAAGGATTATGTTACTATTCAAATTACATTCCTTACTCTTTCCCTTGATCCTAATTTGATATTTCTCCAAATTATTAGAAATTCTCTTATTATTATTATACTCCTTCTGATTAATTTTATTCTTAACTCCATTAAAAATTAGACCATTCTTATTATTGTCCATCAACAGGATTAGATTGTTCATTATTACCTATATTGAAAGCATCAAATATATTTTATATATTTTGAGTATTTGCTTCATTTTATATCTTCTAATCATGATTGGATTTCAAAAAATCTTCATATTTTATTTAGATGTCTTCCTTATTAAAGTCAACATCTTCTTTATAATCAGCTCTTGTATGACCACCTAATTCATGATTATTAAGTTTTTCAGCTTTATCAAAATATTATTCTCTAAATTTCTTCCAGGATTCATTCTCTAATTCTGATTACAACAATGGATATTTTGAAGTAAATTCTACTAAGAAATGAGCCAATTTAGTTACAAAACCTAAATACTCCTTTCTTTATTTCTTATTATTGATAACTTCTGAAGTACATTTCAATAAAAATTGTATAAATTCATTTTAATTGAATAACTAAAATATTATAATTATATTTTACATTCTAAACCAAACTATCCAATTTTTATTCAATAATATGAACAATAAATCTATAATATTATAGATGTAATATATCATGCTTTTCATGTTTAACAAATAATGAATTATAAACTTTGAAAATATCTTATTCATGTAACTTTGTAACAAAAGATTCTTGATTCAAACTTATGCATACTCCAATTATTTCAAGAATTTTAATCTTATGTTATCCAAATATTGGAGTAGTTGATTTTTATAAGAAATCTAACCATTTATTTAAATGAGATTCTATTTTATTGAATAATTCCTATTAATTCACATTCAACATTGCACTTTCAGCTGGGTCTCCTTACCTTGTTGTTATTTTGTAAAGTAATGTGAGTAGATTATACAATGCTGTGCCTGAAGCAAGAGACACAGAGTTATTTTCATGAACAATAGATTAACAAAATTTATCTATTGATTCTCCATACAAGAAATCAAAGAGAGGTTATGCTTTGAAAATTACATAAGCTTTTTAAGTGATCTCTTGAATAATATGAGATACATTTGTTGAAACCTATAAAATATATTATAATCATTTTTACTTCGAAATTTGTGGTATCTTCAATTCTCCCAACCACTCCTTTGATTAAATGAATTCTTTATGGTGTATAATCAATTTAAGTTTCTTGTTCAATTGTTAATAAACGAATTACAAGTTCTGAAACTGAACGAGATTATAACTGCTTTATTAATCCATCAACTAAATTTTGATATTAATAAAATTCAGCTAGAAAGATATCAGTACGCATTTTCAATAAGTTAAATAAAACATTGCAAACATATCCTGCCAATACTGGATTAACATCTTCATCTGAAATAAAAAATTAAAATAATGTATGCAATAGGGATCTATTTAAATATTTGAATTTTGATACTTATCTTCTCCAAAAAATTACTCTAAAATTTTAGGATTCTCACAACACACTAATAATTCACATGAATAAAATGGATATCTAAATGCTCTTTTTGAATTTGAATCATCCACTGGCATCTCTGTTAAATAACTGACTAATTCAGCCACTTATTTCTTTTGCATACTACATATAATTCAATATCTTACTAATCCATTAGTTTCTAATTTTGATTTCTGAATTCACCTATTATTAAATCATCATCTAACAAAGTCGTCAACTAAAGGTCTGGGTTTTCAAAATGACGATCGAATCCATTCTCCTTCATAAGCATACCAAATTGAGTCCAAAATTAAGCACTAGATATAAGTACGTATATCCTTACCTGAAATTCATCGTGAGAATTAATTTTATTAATGGAATAATTATCAAATTACTTTTTGAATTAAACTCAAAACTAAACTAAAATCATTAAACTCTTTGTGAAGGTAAAAATTCTACTTTAATATTTAAAGATATTCGATAAGAATTGGAATCTTATTGTATTATAATATATTTCTATTAGGAATTCATATTTTATTAAATATACAAATCAATATAATAAAGTTTATATATTAAATCAATAAGCAGGATATAAATGTGCATAGTCATTTAAAAAAACATTTCTTAAATGTTATCTTAAATAATTTATTTTTTAAGGTGTTTCAATACTATAATCAATCTAATCTACTGGAGTGTCTATATTTATATATTATAAAAGAACATTAAAAATGGAATATAAACCACAATCATACCCATTCTATTACTATGGAACTGGTAAAATCTTCATCTCTATTTACTTCTCTGATAATGGAAATATTTATATTACTTTCTCCAAAATCCTATTATCAAGAAAATAATTCATTGAATTTAACAAAAAAAGAGTGTTGTTTTAAAATACCAATGTTACAAAATGAGATCTATCTATATTCATAATTAGTATAATTCTATTGTGTATATTTTGGAGAATAAGTTCCTCGATCTTTTATGGTATAGAAATTTAATTGCTTATGTCACTGACCATACTTGAAAAAATATCTTAACACATTATAGTATTAATTAGAAGTATTGTTTTATCAGGATTTATTATTCTAAAGTAATCTTAAATCAATTCTAAATAAAAGTCAATTATTGTTTAATTAATCCAATTATATTCATTTAAACCTATAAATTAATAGTTATTTATTGAATAGTCTTTGTAATCAAATAAATATCTTGTAGTTTGTATTAAATTCTCAATTTAAGGAGGATACTCAACTCTTACATTATTAAGATAATATTATTAAGGTTCTATCATTTCTCCATTTTCATTGAATTCAGTCAATGTTCCATGTAATAAATTGTTCTTAAAGCTTCCTTTGATTTTACAATTTTCAAACTTTTATTCAAATGGTCCATGTCTCCATCCCCAACGATATTCCAATGTATAATCATTATTATTTATATTGCAAATACCATCTGCAAATCCTTCTTTAAATTAACCAAAAAATTTTTAATCATTATTAAAATGTATTTCTCCTTTTCCATTAGGTAACAATTTATTTTAATCAATACATCCTTTATAAATTGCTGGAAAATTATCTGGTTTATCTATAAAATCAAAAGGAATAGAAATATGGTATCTCTGATTTAAGTAAATTTAGCATTAATAACCTAAAAGAGGTTAATTATCTTATATTGTTGGTAAAATTATTCTATAAAGTATTAAATATATAATCTACATATTTCCTCCTGGTCTTAATATTAAAGACTAGCCTATGTGCACCTTATATATTGTACTTTTATCATTTGTTTCATTTTTTTAATCATCTTAATTCTGCTACATATTCTAATTAATTTATATATATCATTTATAAAATAATGACTTAAAACTTATTGATTTTAAACTAAATACCAAATTTACAATTCACTTTTTTTTTCTCAAAGTAGGCACTCTTATAGTAGGAGCATTATCTTAATTTTGTAATTCAATTTATTATTGTAAATCTTATTTTTATTATTGTTATTATTGTTAGACTGGCTATTTTAATTAGATTGTTGTCTCTTATGATGAAGTTATAGCAGGAGGACAAGATCTTTTCCTTAGGAACTTCAGAACATTTTTGGATTATTTTTAAGTTTTCAATTAATATATTCTAATAAAACATTCCGAATTTTCAGGTTTAAATCCTATTCTTAAAATGTCATCAAAATAACCTTTTAGATACCAATTATCCATTTATATCGAACTGAAAGGACCTAAAATTTAGGATAGATAATACCCTGAACTTTTAAGTAATCATCCACATAATACCATATTTTTGAAAGCAAATGATTAGCTTATCCAGGAATACTCCTACTAAATATTATTTCTTTTTTAATGCTTTGCAATTATTACTAACTCCAATCAAAAGTATTAGATTATTTTGGTTAAGGAGTAAGAATTTATTATTCATCAAATCGAAATAAATCTCCACCTCCACTTTAATATATGCCAGCTGTTTTGAGAGGAGTAACGCAATTACTTGAATAAACAAGAATTTCTAAATCTAAATTTGTAATCAAACCTTAATTAAAACCACGTATTGGACGAGCCTAATATGGATTTTAGCTTAGAGCTTTAAAAGCCTATGGATACTATTGACATAATGCTTTGAATGTTTCAGGCATTTATTCAATAGGTTTTTGTCTATAATGGGCTATTAATTAGGCTCTCGAAAGTTTTTATTGCATAAAATATAAATAAAAATATGAGAATTAAAAATATAAGAAGAAAGTTTTATAGAATATTTCTATTAAATTTGTTATTTACTTCAAGAATCCATGTCTATCATTCTTAAGACTCCTCTTATCTATTCATTGTCATCAATATTATCAACAGAGAAGGACTTTTTTCTCATTAAATCCTTCAATTCTTCAGAATCTTGAATTATTGAATGAATATATATACCTGTTCGCTCGAGAATGGAAATAAGAGCTGTTTAATAATGTTCACCCTTATTTTTACATTCAACAACAGTATCAGATTCAGGTTCATATTGAAAACTATTTTACAAATTATGACCAAGCCATTATTATTGATCACTATTATTATCTTATGATTTCTAATATCTTTGTGATGTCTACAAACTTTGTTCTCTCACCTTAAAGACATTCTAAATAATCCTATTTCTAGGTACAATCTTAAATATTCTAGCTTAAGATGATTATTCAACATATCTAAATAATTACAAAATATATACCTTCTTTCTTATTGATAATGATAAAATGAGCAATCTTATATATTACAATTTTAATTGATGCATTGTTTAGTTCTAAATAGCATTGGATGATATTCTAATTCTTTCCATCCATGACATTTACAACAATTAAAAGCATCTGGACATCCATTACTATATTCTGTAATATATTCATTAGTATTCCAATTAGAACATGATTATGGAATATAATTGTATCCTTATGGTTTTCTTCTAAAATCTTACCAATTGTGAGCATAAACACATAAAGATTTATCATGTTATGTAAGATTGAATGGACACCATACTGTTTTGTAATAAAATATGAAGAAATCATCATCATATTCTAAATTATGAATAAGTTCTATAGCTATATCACCTTCAGAATGAGCAAATGAACAGAATTTCCCATAATCACACTATTAAATATTATTGGGATAAAAGGAGCAAAATTTAGTTTTGTAATTGTCAACTCTATATAGTTATTCCACTCTATTATGAGCTCTATTGCAATTGTCTCCATATGGACATATTGAATTATTTTCAATATATTGACATAACTCAGCTGAATACTCTACTCCAATCCTTAAAAACATATTCAATAAGTAAATACCTTTTTCGATCCTTTGGATTATGAAAGAAAGGACAATGCTTATGATTGTGATTCCCCATTATCTTACATTACTAGACTTTAAAGAATCCCAAATCTAAATGTTCAACTCTTATTTATTATTGTAATTGTTAACTGAAACCTAAATTATTATGAGTCACATCAGTGGTTTCTATATATAATAGATTAAAAAATTACCTGTGTCATTTAACTTTGTATTTTTTTCTGTTTTTGATCCACAATTCATACTCAACATACCTTTTGGAATATATGGAGGAATGAAGTTCTATACTTATTATTTTTTATTTCCATGACTTCGTCCATTTGAATTTTATTTTTAAAAACCATTCCTCATTTAATCACGAGGAATCTACATAAATTATTAAATTATGAACTTAAAAACTCTTAAGCATAATCAAAATATCACAAATTATTATATATATAGAATTATTAATCAATTATCTCAATTTCTAATCCATTTCATATAAGAATTCTAAAAGAAATTGAAAGGTAATTTAATTAAATTAATAACTCATTTTTAAGACTTTACTATAATATTTATGCTAATCAAGAAATCCAATATTATAAATCTAGATACTATTAAATTTTATGAGATCAAATGTTAGCGTCAATATGAATATAGTACAAATTTAATTTAAAACGAAAACGATGATAATTGTAAAGAAAAAGCTTCAAAAATTTAAATATTATGTAAAAGGTTTGAATACAATCAAATAGGAAATTACACTGTTATTAAAGACCTTGATCAAGCAGGAAGAATTGCAGGATTCATTATTCTAAAAGAATATAATTTTTTATTTAGTCATTATGAAATCAAATATGTAAAAGATTGCCTATTTTCCAAAAATTTCTAGTTATGTGTAATCATATCATCCAAATATATTTCAATCTATTAACTTGAAAATTTTAAATTGATAGTTAATCAAAATATTGATTGGGGTTACTACTACAAATTTGGAGTAATTACACCAGATTCTAAGTATTTAATTTCAAATACTCAAGAAAACACAATCATTTTGTATTGCTTATAAAAGTAAACATAAATTTTTACTATTTACTAATCTAAACCTAATTTTAGTTAGATTTTTGTTTCAAGAACAAATAATATAATGTTATCAATAAAATTTGGATCACAATAAGTAAGAAGATGGTAAATATAGGATGATAAGATAAAATATTAAACTTAATTTTACCTTAATTAGACCTATACTCTTAATTATGTTACAAAACATTATATAATAGTTAGAAGACTATTTAAATCATTTGAGAGTAAGTATTGCATCTTTTCTAATCTAAATAAGTAAAGAAAACTTATTAGAACTATAAAATGCTCATTTTTTGAAAATTTATAAATGGATCCAAATAGTGAATCCAAGATTTTGATTAGTGATGGGAATAAATTACTTTTTGTAACTTAATACAAATTTTATTGTATTTAAACAGGACGTTTTATATAGGCTTCAAATGAATATAGCAAATTAATTTCAAAACCAAATATTGAAATTTCTGATAATCTTATGAAAATTGAATATTACTAGAAAGAATCCTGAATAATATTATTTCTTTATTTAAATTGCTTATTAATTATTTATATATTTTAAATATCAAGTAATAATTATCAGAATTATTTATGAATCCAAACTAGTCTTCTTAAGGAATGTAGCATACAGATTAGTTTAGACTTTGAAGATGTATTCTTATAATAATATAAGAATATACTTTTTATTTGGCACTTTCAATCATTTACAATTTAACAGATAATGCTTTTGCTCTTCTAATTGGAAACCAGGAATAATCACTAGCCATTTATTTTGCTCTAATATAATTATCAACACCATTATTAAAATTTGATTGTTTCATTCTTAAATAGCACATATAGAATAAATAATTCCAAATATTGTGTTCAACTTTAATATGATGCCAAAATCCTGTATTTTGACTTGTTTTATCAAATACTAATCTATCAATTCCACAAATGAAACATTTATGATTTTAATCCTTCTCCTTTTATTTTTGAACTGATCTCAATTCTGAGTATGAAATAATAATGACAGCCAAAAGAATATTAATGATACATAGTTTTATGATTATATTTATGATATTATCATAAAAGAATCTTCCATAATAATTATTGAGATTATTCATATACATTTCCTCAGCCTATTCTCCTATATTTTCCATAAACCTACCTCCAACAGATCCATCTGTTTTAAATGTCCAATCAAAAGTTACATATACACATTACCATAAATGATTGCAAAGATTCTTATTCTTATCAGTAATAAAAAATTCAAAAAAGTATACATAAGATATTAAGGCTACCCAATATTCAAATAATACAATTGTAAACCATAATCCAATAAATTTAAATTTAGCTAACCATACAGCTTTTAATATTGGTATTAGTGGTTCCAAATATAGAATATGTATTAAATGAAATGCTAAAAAAAATGGATGAATTGTTATTCCAATTATATTAAAAGCTATCTAAAGAATATAGTATATGATGTCGAAATCAATGACTAAAACAATGATTGAGATAATCACCTTTATTAAACCAGAAATCATGTGTCCAATTAATGAAGAAGCATGCCAAGCATTCCAAACAAATTATAATTTAACAGGGGCTTTGTCAATGAGATAAAAAAACAAAACCATGAAACTAAAAGTTATAAATATAAATATATTACTTTATAGCAAGATTTAAATATGCTAATGTCATTAAATAATATTTAGTATTTGTGTTATTATAATCTTCTAAGAATCTTGGTTCATTTAATCTATAATATTAAATTACATCAGGATCATTTGGTTTATATCCTGGTGGAAATGCTAATTAAGTATAACTTAAGATTATGATTAAATTTATAAAGAATCCATTATAGAAAGCAAGTTACATCCATAATTTACCTCTTCTAGCAAGAATCTCTAAGAATTTATGGTTTTTAAAGTAATCTCTTAGAGATTCTTAATGAAGCATAAATTTATAGGCTGAATCAACAAAGTTAACGAGACTGATTATTTTAGTTTTAGTACTTGTTCTATCTGCTTGATCTAAGAATTTTTTTTTAATTTCTTATCTTAATAAGTAGAAACATGGCAATTTAGGAAAATAAGTTAGGTAAAGTACATCATCTAATACAAATTCAACTTATAATGTATTTAATTTATAAAATTGAAATGCTTTGTGGATCATTTCATGCTTTTTTATTATATTCATTTTTTCTTCAACTTATCCACTAAATTATTATTTTATTTGATTTAATTATTCTAATCCATGTTTCATCAAAGATTATCCTAATCTTGAAAGTTCATTTAAAATATTATCTCTTAAAAAATCTTAGACTAATTATCCTTCATCTTCATTTTTTTTAAATTCTTCCAAATCTTCAACAACATAATTAAGTTCTGATAGGATGACATATAAAATATAAGCATTAAATCCACTTTCCATTATAAAATTTGGTTAATTTTCAAATATTAATTTAGAATAATTGTCATCACCAAAATAATTTATCATTTAATGATATACATTAACAAAATGTTATATTAAAACTGTTTTAGGTACTATTTTCTTTAATTTATATACAATATAATCATCTTTAGTATTAATTTCAGCTACTACTAATAGGATAATTAAACATTAATGTTTTAATTAATTAATTTAAATATCATCTAATTATGATTTTAATGATGAATCATTTAAAACTTTGATAGAGAATTCAACAAATTTAGAATTAGCAACTAATGTTTAATTTGGCCTACATGCATATGCTTAAGATTTTAATGTTTTTAAACATTAAATTAATTACTCATAATTATTTTTAATATCTAAAGAACATAAATAGTTAATAGTCTATTAAACAAGATCATATGACTTTTTATTATTCTTTTAATAACGAATCAAATTTTGTAATTCTTTATTATTATCATTACACATCAATTCCATTATTTCTAAAACTAAAGTACATATTTTTTAATCCTATTCTATTGTCAAAAGCATTTCCATTTTCTAAAAGAATTTATCACTTGAAATAGCAAGACTTAAAAAAGTTAAGGTTGTTTTTTAAACTTACTTACAAATCAAGAGTCCTTTAATTAAAATTAATAATTAAATTATGTAATCATTTTCACTTTCATTCTCTTCCCATATTAATGTTAAAATTACTTTTGTTCCTCCTAATTAATCAAGTATTTAAATTCTATTTCCATCAATTTTTATTATTTATATTAACAATTTTATTGCAAATATAGCACTTTATTTAGATGCTTTATTTGATTTCCAAAATTATAAAAAAGCTAAAATCTTATGGAGTATATCATCATTTGTTAGAATTAATTCTCTTTTTTCTTTATCTTACCAAAAATCATTTGTAAACATATCACTTACATACCATATTGATTATGCTAATTAATCAGTTTCAGTCCATTCCTTTATTTTTGGATTATTTTCAAATAATTTTTTAAAAAATTCCCATAATTCTAAATCATTACATCCTTAATCTGATTCATCACTTCCTTCTGTAATTTAATATTCTTCAAATTTTTCAGTTTTAAATGTCTCTCCATTTATATCACTCATCAATCCTTCTTAATCTGAATCTGATTCACTTTTTTCATCTGGAAGTTTCATATCAAAAGCTTTTATCAATCTATGTACTTAATATTTAGTTTAAGTATCACTATTTTTAGTTAATTAAGAATATTGTTTAAGAACACTTAAAGCATAACTTCTAATTTAAATTATATCTGTTTTGAATGAATTTTTCTTATTTGCATATTCATTATAGGTATTTATTAAAGGTAATAATGCTTCAACAATATAATTCTTAGCAGAAACTTATAAATAATCTTATTATTCAAGCCATGATGCTTCAATACTGATAATTTGTAAAAAGTAATTTTCATGAATTAACAATAACTTTTTCTTTTTCTTTGATAAAGTAAATATTATTCTGCAAATAACAAATTTAATCTAATAAAATTTTATACATATTACTTTTGTTATACTATCCTATAATTCTAAATCTAAATTAGTATTTCTCATTTCCTATGTCTTTTCTAAAAAATATGATGTCAAATCAGTAAAATCTAGTACTTCAAGCATTTTTACTGATAAGGCTGCTCTATCATCATGAATTAAAACAACTTCAATTATTTTAAGGAAACTCTATCTAAATTCCTCAATATTTGGTTAATTTGGATAGAACTTCTAAAAATTAAAATTTTCTTAAAATGGCTGAATAATATAATTGAATTAGATATACATTGATGTCTTTTGATTCACATTAAATTAAAGCCTAATAAATATCTTTGTAGAGAGATTAACACTATTTATTTCTTACTATTGATGTAAAAAGTTCTATAAATGATTAATATTTTCCATAAAGTTTGACATATTCTAATAACTAATATAAATCATTTGAATTAACTAAAGGTAATAAATTTTGATTATTTGAAAATAATTCATTTATTAATTCTATTTAACCTAAATTCACCATATTATATCTTAATAATGGTCTTGCTAATTTAATAAGTACAAATCTATAATATATTATATAAAATTACTCTTAATTTTATTAATCATTTCTGACTGATAATCCTATTAATCTAAGACATGCTTAAAAAATGGATAGAATTTTTTCAACCAATTCTTATTAATATTATTTTTATTCATCATAATCAATTAATTCAAAACTACATTCAAAGATATCCAAATTTACATCAATTACTGATAAACATTTAACTATTAATTAATGAACCACTTAATAACCACCACAATTTAAGAATATTTTTCTAACTGATTTCTCATTTGCTTCATTTTTAGATATTATTGTATATATTTCAACTAATTTCTCTAATACTTTTTCAATTGTTTCCTCATTCTTTTCATTCAATGCTATTGGAATATCTAAACGTAACCAAATTTAAGAATTCTATACATTGTTTTTTAACTTTTAAACTAAAATATACATAGTTCTATAAATGATCTATAAATTATTTGTCATTATTATTTATATTTATTTTAAGTAATTACAAAATTCAGATCTTTAATTTTAAAATCTTTCAATTAATTCTACAATATGATTTTATAAGACATGATCATTTGCAAAGTAGAATCCTTTCAATAATACTTCTATAAATGGTCTATCAATAATTTTATCAAAATGTCTAATTCTATTAATTTATACATAATCCTTAATTAATCTTTATTAAAACTTTTTTTATCCTGGTTTTAGAAGATCTTCTCTTAATAATCCTTATAATGAAGTTAAATATTTCTTTTTATAATATACTGTATGATTTTATAGATTAGATTTATTATCAGCAGAATCATGTAATTATTATTTTTCAGAATGTATGAATTTCTTAGAAACAGAAGGTAAGAATATATTAGTGAAAAAAGCAATTGCATTATCAATCATAAAATCTAATCTCATATCCAAAAGATATTAAAATATTTTACATATCTCTATCTTTATTTCTATTTCATAATCTGAAGTATTAGTTTATGCACTAAATGTTTTATTATAAAATCTATTCAAAACTCTCTTAACATTTTATAATTTTCTTAAAAGAGGATCTCGAATAGTTTCAATACTATTTTTATTGATTATTTTCTTTTCTCTTTTTCTAAAAAAATTTAATGATTAAATTTAAATAATTTTTGCTAATTTTTCATTTACATTCTTTTATTTTAATTTTGAATGTGCCTTCTAATAATCAAAATCATATTCAAGTAATAATGATAATTGTTATATTAATCTTTCTAATACAAATTCAATCTCTTTAGAATCATCTATTCTATATTTTGTCATTTCATCATTCTATTTAGAAAACCATCCAAATTGTAATAACATAAATAAAATTCTCATAATTTGTAAAGTAAGTAGATTATATACTTTTAATGGTTATTATTCATTAAGATTGTTAACCATTTACTTTAAATAAGAACTTAATATCTCTTTAAATTGTATTATTACATAATATAAAGATTTAGTTTCTAATTCTACCTTATCAAAAATTCCATCTTCATCCTCATAAAACATATTATCAAAAAATGTTTAACTATTATTAATATTCACTCTAATAAGAGTTGGTTTTACTTGAGAAATTAAAGGATCCCTATCTAAGTAAATGTTTTTACAAAGAGCAATTAAATGTGCTCTTAATTCTGGATCAATTATATTATTATTTAATAAAGGAACAAGTGAATTATCACTAAATTGATCTCCAAAATATTTAATTGAATCATAATTTCTTTATAAACATAATTAAGAATATAAAAAGAATTGTGCCTTTAAGAAATTAAGTTCTTCTTAAAAATGAGGATTTGAATTTTTATGAGTATGTTCAAAATATGCTTCAAATCTAATAGAAACAGGTCCCATTTTACCATTACAAGTAACAATAATATTCTTTTCTTCATCTACTATACATTTCATTAATGTAATATTCTTTTTTTTATTAATCAATGTTTTAAAAATCATTTCTTAATTTGCAAATATAGCTTCTACTCCAAATGAACAACATGTAGCTAATAAATGTAAAATTTCTGTTTTTTGACTAAAAGGGATTTCAGTTTTAGCATTAGAATTTAAAGAGACTTTTTCTGTCAACCATTCAAGAATAAATATATTTTTATTAGGTTTTTTGGATGAAACTAATATTAATTAAATAAATATATATATTACTTTTTCTAATTTTAGAAAGATCTTCTAGAAAAAATCTATTTTTACAAACAAGATTAATTAAAATTGTTATAAATTCAGGATATAGTATTATATGTTTATGAAGTATAGGTAGAAATTAAAACAAACAATTCTAATTTTCAATATTGTCTTTACAAATCTATTAATATATATTAATAATTATATACAATGTTAATTGTTTCAATTAATTATACTTAGAGAATTTTAAGTTATAAAGTATAATAATACATAATTCTTCCTTCATCTCTATCAGCTCTATTTATTGTTTTTGTAATTTAATAGAATTTTTCTTCTTTTTCAAAATAATCTTTATCATTTTAAGAAATTTAATCAACCAATTCTGGTTTAAGCATTTAAAACAATAAACAAATTAGAGGAAATAATGGTTCTTATCTAAATGACTATAATAAATTAAATTTTAATTATTACATCTTATCTAATAAATGAGATTTGATTATATTTTTGATTAGGTGATAAATTAGAAATTAATTTATTCATTAAAAAATCACTAACATAAATTAATATTTGCTTAACTTTTTAATATATAAAATAAAATTAAATTTTTAATCTAATCTCACCTTCTTTATTTTTAATATCAAATTCAGAACATTTTATTTCTTAATCATTAATATCTTATAATAATTCTATAGCCTCTATAAATATTTTAACAGAATATTAAAGTAATTTAGTTTCATTATCTTCATATTCTCCTATCTTTCTTAATCTTAAAATATTTATATTTCTATTTTCTTATTTATTTTTTTAATCTTCCAAATAAATACCTGATTAATAATGTTAAATTTTAAAATAAGAATCCTTTTTTAATAATTTTTAACCTTCATCAATAGGTATTAAAATAAATAATGAGAGTTTACTTAATTAATTTGTTAAAATAGGATCACCATTCAATAATTCTAAATATCTAGAAGATTAATTATGTTTAAATCTAACTAATTAATAAAATTAAATTTATCCTCCCTATCCATTTGTTTTTTCTATTTTCCAATATGAACTACTTTATAGTTTCTAAATTCTCTTCATACCTATTCTTTCAATTACATCATCAAATGTTACTTTGAGATCTTCATAGATTATTTTAGTAAGAGTTAATGAAGTTAATTAATTTTATAATCTTTATATTTAGTATTCAGCTATTTCATGAAATGTATCATATGGTTATTTGGCATTTAAAAATAACTTAAATAATATTATAAATGGTGTACATTTGTTTCACTTAGATTTATTGCAATCAAATCTCCTGCATATAATAAATCCTCATTTTCTTATAAACTACTATATAAATTCATTTTTAAATAAGTTGGATTATTTTATGTTGAGGATACTTAGTCTGCTTAATCTTTAGAAATTAATCTTAAATAACATTTTCTATTTTATATTGATTTTGCAGCACAAAGAGTTACAGTTTCTTAATCTAAAATGCAAGAGATCTATTTCTGATATTAATAAACTGGTTGGAAATGTAATACTGTGTAGTCAGATGGAAATTCAACCAATTAAACTGATTCTTGATTAATCATAACAAATCGAAGAGAGTCTTTGTGAATCAAATGAAAAGTCGATGTTCCAAAAAGTAATGAAGTGTCCTGTAGTTTTTGGAAACATGAAATATTGGCCATCATCTCTTCATCAAGATTGTTTTCATAAGATTTTATAGTCTATTGTCTAGATTGAATTGTGGATTCTATCATGCTCAATTACACTACCCTTTTTATTGATTTCTTTGTCAATGTCATTTTTAACTAGCTCTACTAATTTACCAACCCAAAAATGATTGAGAACAGGTATTATCATAAAAATGCATTTATCAATGTTTAGAATCTCATTTTGATGAGTGACCTTATGAACCAATAAATTATCATTAAGTTAATCAGTTGAAAGGTAGGACTCATTTTCACTGCATAAAGACAACGAAATCTAACATCCATAAGTAATCTTTTTTAGCATTATTTATAATTATTGATGGATTAAAATTATTGTAATTAGAAATACTATCTATTGCTACAATCATCATGAAAAGATCTCAAATTATTTAATGCAATTTAACAGCTAAAAAACGTTAGAGAAAATGTTTAATCTGTTTTTTGGATTCAAAACTTAAATCAATTCGTTAATTACACTGATTCTAAAATAAGAACTGTAATTCAATAGATAAAGTGAAATTCTAGATAAAACTTATTATTAAGACTTGAAATATCAAGATGTTTGAAGATTTAAATGAAATTTCTGAAAAGAATATTTATGCTTAATCTTTTATTCTATTTTTCTTTCAATAAAAACATATAATAATTGATATATTTATCAAAAATAATAATTAGGAATACTTCAAAAACATCAAGAAGAATAATTATTAAAGATTAAACCATAATTTAAGTGACTCTTCAAATAATATAACAAATTCTTCTTTGATTATAATATTAATAAACTCTTATGATGTTCAAAAACATCGATTGACTAATTGAAATATCTAAATGTTCTATAATCCATTATTTTTTTTGATTAGAATTGTATTTTTCAAATGACAAAAATACAGAACTCTTTTATTAACAAATAAATTTATTGTGCTATTGTGTTACTTTTATATAGATTGTTCTATATTTTTAAGGAGAAAACCACACTTCGAGTATTTATTGAATTAAATTACTATGTATACTAAAGACTTCTAAGATATTGACTCAAAGCGTGTTAAAGAAAGACTTGTAGAAAATGCCTATGATAAAGTTTAGATTTGGAGGAAAATTTTCCTTGAAGGTTTGATCAATGAAAAAGGAGAAAAGCAATATTATACTTTAAATGAGGCTGCTAATTTTGTTGGCATTCCTAAAAAGACTTTAGAAGATTATACTTAAATCTTTCATAAAGTTGGATTAATTGCATCTCTTTTTGATTTTTATGGAAAAAAGATGGGATTTTTGAGGCACTTTATAAGAAAAAACAAATCAAAAATAAGAAAAGCTTTAATAGCTGAAAGATTAAAATAATATGAAAGGAAACGTGAAAAATTACTTTAAAAAAAATAAGCATAGTGTTCAAACTTTCTTGAAGAATTTTCATCAACAAAAGATACAGAATCAATTTTTGAAAAGATCTCAGATAATAATATATATAATTTTGAGTCAGAGGAATTAGATGTTTACTAAGAAAGTCGTGTCTTTTTGCCATTATTAAAATTTTGATTTAGTTGTTAATTGTATATTTCTAAATGTAATTAAAGTAGCTTAATTTTTGTATTCCAAAGTAAACCTTGAAGTAATGGTTTCTATTGTATATAAATCATTTGAATAATTCTTTCTATTAATTTGCTTCATATAATTATAAAAATATAAACACAAACAAACTATTGAAAATTTTATATTAATAATAAATTGAAGTAATTTTAATTTAAATAACTTAATGTAATTCTTAGACATCACAAATTTAGAAAAGAACCATTAAAATTAAAAAGGCAAGAATGTTATTTAGGTTCCTAAGAGTCCAAAGAAAAAGAGTTAGTTAAATTATTTGGATATGAGTGATTTGAAGTATGATTGGATTTGTTTGGATGAAGAAGAATTTGAAATTATGAACTAAGAAAATCCTAAAAGTTATACCTTTACAATATAAGATTAATTTATATGGTTTTAAAATTAACATACACACTTTTCTTATCCATTAAAAGTTGAACATAGAAATGTAAATTTTACTTAAAAATTTAATAGTTTACTGAATCTTTAAAGAGACATAAAATAGATGAATATAAAAGACATAGCTTATTATGTTGGATGGGTTATGTAATGGGAGGTTATGAGAGTGCTTCAAATGAAACATATTTTTTGGCAATCTCAATTTTGGATAAATTCCTTTAATAGTATCCTTATGTTCTAACCAATTAAGAATTATTAGCTATTGGTGTTTGTTGTTTGGGTCTTGCCTCAAAACATAAAGATGTTTTTCCTTTAACTTCACAATAATTAATTTAATTAAGTAGTGATAAAATGGATGAAATTATATTGACTAACTGTTAATTAACAATTTTAGACACACTTCAATTTTAAGTTGAAATCCCAAATTACTTTTAGATATTTGATTATATAATGAGAGATTTAGAATACAGATATTATAAATATATATCATCAGATATAGTATAGAATTCATTAGTTAGTATGAAATTAAAGGTGATCTATAAATGTAGTTTACATTTATTAAGATTTGTTTCTTAATATTATGATTCTACAATATATTATTAAGGTACTATATCCTATGGTTCTATATTTTATACAATAAAACGTATGGAATTATTGAAATTTGTAATTCCTACAGATTTGATTAAAGTACTTTAATAAATACAAACAGATTAAGAGATTAATAATACAGAAATTGTATTAAAATACATATATAGATTATGTTAAAATGGAATGTCTGAAAAACAATAAGAATTTTTTAGATAAACCCTTTTTCAGTATTGAATTTTAATTTATGTTATTTGCTTTAGAAATAGAATAAGTATCAATAATTACATTGTCTTCTTCTTACTTTCAATAAGTAATCTAATTAAGAGATATTACGATATGGATTAGTGAGACTCGCAATTGAGTTTTTTTTTGATTCATTAAGTGGTTTTTGCAATTCCTTTACTTATTATCTAATTTATGATTTTAATTAGTTATCTATTGATTTATTGTTATTGATTGTAAATTTTGAAGGACTCAATTAAGGGAGAATAGATCGATTTACTGGAACATAAGTACGATTAAAATGTTTCTTCTTTAAAATCTTTGAAGATGTATTACTAGGTTATGTAGGTAATGTTTTTATAGGTAATTGTATTTCTGACACTACTTTGAGATTTTTAATTGGTATAAGTAATAATTTATCATTGATTGTTTATTGTCTTTTCATAAATACTGTATGTCTCATTTATGTTTTTGAATGTGTTTCTTTTCTTTATGGAACCTAAAAAGCTACTTATTTATGTTAATTGAGCATATCTTTTGATAATCGAGTATCACAAGAATTACAACGTTTTCTAAATAAGATTGTCTTAGAAGATAATTTATTTTTTATTAGAATCATTCTTCTTGCAATCTTTTATGCTTAAAGAAATTATTGTAATATTTACAAAATCGAAAAGCATCATCTGCAAAATCTCTTTTTTTCTTTAATTAATGTGCTTATTCTACTTAACGATGACAAGTTGCACCTTTATACATTAGATGTATTATTTTAGTATTATCATGTCCACAATCAGAACAACAACAACTTCTTCTTCTTATTTTTTATATGTTCCTACTCTACATTCTCTTTCCTTCTCTACTTCCAAAGCGTAAATGCTTAATCTTAGCATCTGATATTTTTGGTTTTATCAATTCAAAAGAGAGAGTTCTTTATGTCTTCTTTAAAGGATGAGCCCTAGTACTGTAGTTGGCAGTATTCTCAACTTTCCGATTGACAATAAAATTATATAAATTGGCTGAACTTTCTTCATAATCCATACTGGGTAACCCTTAAATGTCTTTCTCTAATTATCATAGTTTCAACAATCTTACTTAATTCCTTCATCATTTTTTTAGCACTTTTAAACAAGATCTCTTGCTTTAGTATTCCTTCTAATTTTTTTTCAGGATGTGAATTAATTTTCATGACAGAAATAAACAAATAAGTAATATATGATAAAAATAATCCTTATATAACTTAGAACATATTAAAAAAAGTCTAACTTATCTAAATCTATCTTAAATTTCTTAACATTCAAATAAACTATTTTTCTAATATTATTATATTATAATATTAATAAAAAAAATGAATCCACTTTCATTTCTTGATCTAACAATATCTATACATATTTTAATAATTGTACATAAGGAAACCATTAATAAATATGTTGTATAGAGTATATAATCTTATATATTTTATTTCTTTTTTTATAATTGCTTAATTCCTTTAAGATAGTATAATAAGTTTTAAAACATCAATAAAATAATTTTTAACAATCATAAATTTTAAATTAAATTGGATGTTTGAGGTATATAAATTATGGGTTTTCTACCTTTTTTTAAAGATTTTTTTTTACAACATTCATTCTTGATCTTTAAAAGTAATAATTTTGATATCATCTATGAATTCCACTTTTTACAATTTCTAATCCATTAATAATTATATGTTATACAAATAAAGTTTTGATCATAAAATAACAGTCCTTTTTAAATTAATGAGTAGATTAATACTTTAATAGTCTAATCTTAAACTTTAATGATGTTAGATTTATGAATTAGATTATATGAGTTTGATATAAGTATATGTATATTTATTAAAAAATTCATTAATTGCAATAATAGTACTTAGTATCTTAATCGAAGCTGTTCCATTCATTGCAAATTTATTTCATAACTTCAGACAAAACAAATGGTTTTCTTGGAACTATATATTATTTTGATATAAATCTAAGTGCAAATCTCTCAAATCCATTTTATGGTTATTTTAATATTTACCATGCTTCTTCTAAATCATAGTATAATAAGCATACCTTTAGATGTATTTAATTCAATCTTTGGATAACATGCCACTTTAAATTCAGTTTATAAGAAAGCTCTTTTAAAAAGAGATTGTTTTTAAACGTTGACGGACATAGATATATATGAATTTTTTAAATATAAAATTAATCATTTCCCTCCTTTAGAATTTAAATTTTATAATGTGAGATTTAATTTAATTGAAAATATATATTTCTAATAAATAATAAAGGTATAAAATTTAAATGAAATTAATGGATTTAAAATAATAAAGTAAATATATAATTAATATATATAAATACTTAAAAAATATTAATTATTTATATCAATTATTTTTTTATCAGTTTGTAAAGTGTTCTTTTATGGTTTTATATAGGATTCGTTTACTTTCTTAAAATTCAATTATTAATTGTTTATCAACTTCTAAAAATTGTTAATTTTCTTTATATTTTTCTTCATTTTTAAAGAATTTTATTGAAAAAGCTAAAAAAAGAATTGTATGGTCTTCTAAATAATCGTACTCTGCTTCGAAATCAAAATATAGATACATTTCTTAGAACAGTTTCTTATATTACATATAATATAATTAAGGAGAATGTACATTTTCTTTGAATTTAAATTGATTTACTTCCATTTATAATTAAGAATCAGTAATATATTTTTGATACTCTTAAAATCTATTAATTTCTCTCTAAAAAATATTATAAGAATAAAAATGTTACCTTAAATTTCTATTTAATAATCTTATATTGTTATTTAATGTTAGACTTTAAACTAATTTAATTTTTTAACTAATTCCATATTTCTTCTTCTAATTGTTTCTTATCTACCCAACTTAATTCCTTTTATATTTATAGTTCATTAGCATTTACATATCTTTTGTATAGTAAATAATAAATGTTATAGAAGTTTGAATATTAATACCCATATAAATATAATTTTAGTATATTTAGAGACATTGTGTAAGGTGATTATTAAATGCTTTGCTAATTTTTTTCCAAAATTATAGATGAATTTTCAATAGAATTGATTAATTTATCAACAAAAGTGCTTTTGGCTAAATAAAAATTTATCATCTTTTCTAAAACATTATCATATTATTTAACTGAACATATTGAAGTCTTTTTTTACAATTTAAATTATTTTAATTATGGATTGGTTTATTATTAATCTTAATGGTTCTTTAGAATTTAATCACTATGAAAAAATTAAACTCTTGTATTTTCATAACTTTCTTGATTTGCTTATTTAAATTCACCAGTTTAATTAGCTTTCTTGAGTTTGTTGTTTGAAATCATAAATTGAGTCTCTTTTGGTTATGATATATTATTAATGTTATCTAATGAAGTAGATTCTTAAGAATTTTGGTCATTTTAAGGTTTTGATTAAGAAGATACTAGGATTGGTTATAATTAATATGTAAAAGCATTATGTTGAATAGTTTCTGTTTATAATTAATATGTAGAAGAATTATTTTGAATAGTTTCTGTTTCAATAATTTCTGAGACATTAGGATCAAGGAATTATTTAAAAAGATCATCCCAACTTATTCTAGAGGATTCTTCATACACTAATGAAGATTATAAAAAGTTTAATAATTATTATTATTCTTATTAAGTTCCTCCTAATGCTTTAGGAATATTTTTTATTTAAATTTGATGATATTTTGATTTCTTTACAGCTTCAACAAATTACATGAGTGAGTAACAATTAAAAGGCATTTATTAATAGACTAATTAATATATTATTACACCAAACTAAATTTTATATTATTAATACACTATAGATATCGCATTTATTTGAATATATTCCTTCAATTAGAATTTATGGAGCAGCATAATATGGAGTTCCAGCATTAGATTATTCAATTTCTTGACATGGATCTTCTAATATTTTTGACATCCCATAATCAGCAAGCTAGAATAAAATTTAATTATACTTAGAAACATCCATTATTACCTATCAATATATTTGCAGGTTTTATATCTCTATGAATAATACCAAAATCATAAAGATGTTTATAACCATTTATTAATTATTTAAGGATAGTTAAAATCTCTTCAGTTTTGTAGTAATTTTTCATTCTCACCTTTTATTCAATAAGCTTCTAAAAATCACCTTATAAACAATATTCCATAAATATATAACATCTATTCTATTATTCTTTTATATGAAGTATTTTCACAAGATTTTTACAATCAACTTTAGAAACTCTCTAAATTATTTCAATTTCTCTATTGTAATTAACAGAAGTCTTTTAAGTATATTATATAATCTATAATTTAAATTAGAATTACTTTAACACACATAGGTATTGAAAATTTTGGATTTGTACATATATAACAAGTAGAAAATGCTCCTTGGCCAAATAAAGAAGAATAATTTATAGTAAAGCCATCTACAATGTTAGGAGAATAGTTTGACATCAATCTTAAAATTATATTATTATTAATAATTATTTAGAAAATAATTAGATTTAATTCTAAATTCCTTTCTAGATCTTCTTGTTGTAATAAGAAATAGATAAATTAAGTAATAAGGTATTATAACTAATGATTTAATATTTAAACATTTCAAAATAATATCATTTTAATAAATGATATTACTTATTAAACTATAGTATTATTAATTAAATATACTTGAAAGTGTTTTATCATCATAGTATTCTTAAACTATGATGATTTATCTAAATATATTAATCATAAAATCTCGATTAGCTTTCAATTAGTTTTTAAATTATTTTAGAATAAATATTTTTATAAATAGGTACAGTTTCTTTGAATTATAATTATTTTGAAACATCATGAGTATAATAGAATAGAATTTTTACTTTAATTTGTGTTCGTATTGAAAACAAAAATAACGTATAATATTTTATCAAATTCATCTAATTTTTATTGTTTAAATTACATAGATTAATATCCAGTCTGAAACTTAAATAATTTGCCTCTAATTAAATAATAAATAATATATTATTTATCTAATAAATTATTATGATTTGATATAAAGTTCTATTAAATAATATTTAGAATGATATCAAAAAGATTACTTTGAATGTATATTTATGGAAATATTACACTTTTCATATAATTGTTTAATATTTCAATCTAATTAATTAATTATGAATATAACTTTATATTAAATGATAAGACATTAATTATATATATATAAAATTTTAATTCGATAAAAATTAATAGACTGTAATTTGATCCATTAATATAAATATTATATTTGATACTTAAGTGAATGATAACATATTTAGATTAATTCTTAATATGTATGTATGTTTTTAAGAATTGATTAATAAAATTAATTATATATTAGATCATATAAGTAGAATTTTTGATTATGTTAAAAGGATAATTATTATAATAATTTATATTAACAGAAAATTGTTCAGTTATATAACTAGTATTTCAATTGGAATCACTTTCAATTTTCTTTTTCTTCTTAAATTAAACTGGTATTCTTTTCTTATTAGCACAATCTTTACATCTACAACTAGATGAACATTTTTGATTTCTTATATAACATTCACAATAGTTTTTTTAACACTGGGATTTTTAACATTTACAACCCCATACTTTAGATCGATCAAATAAATCATCATCATGTTTTTATCGTTAAGACTTTATTTTAATTTTTTCTAATGCTGTCTGTCTTATTGGGAAATGATCATCACAATTCTTGCAAGCAACGCATTTACAAAGTTTTGTACATTACTTATTTTAATGAAAACATTGACAATATAACTTAAGACAGTTAGATTTAGTGCATTTACAAGGAGTTGTGTTAGTCTCAAGTTATTATGAATAAAAGTCTGATTCCTAATTAAGGTCTTGATTTGTATTAATAGTAGGTTTAAACTTTGATTTACGAATTCTTCTACTTCTTTGTTCTAGAGTTATAGTGCAAGGATCATCAGCTTTAGAGTGTTGATCTTAAATTTAAATGATTGGTAATTGTATGTTTTCATTTTTATTAACTTCTTATGCTTGGTTCTGATTCTGAACTTCCATATTTATGGGTGATTCTGGTTCCTCATAAGCTTTGTCAGACAAGTAACTCCTAAAATAGATGGTATATATACATTATATTTTTAAGTTTAGGCAAAGAAATTGGCAATTCTTCAATGTCATGATCTTACATGGTATCAAATTTATTATGGTTCCAATAATCATATGTTATTGGGGATTATTCTTTTCTTTAATTGGTTTCATTCCAAAAATTTTAGTGCATGGTCTTTTACTTATAATTAATATTGTTCTAGCAAAGTACTCTATTGAATGAGTTATTTTACATGCAGTTTATTTATATATATTCTAGCAAATTGGTTTCATTTCATAAGTTAATCAAATATAAAATGCGTTTCTTCATGTTATATCCAAAATTGGTATTACATATTTCTCATTTAACAAAGTGTTGAATAACTCAAATGATCTTATATGAAGTAATATTAATTCTATATAAAGATATCTTTAGAGAAGATGAGAATCTTTCTTAAGAAAAATTAAAATAAATTTTATTTATATCTCAATACAATCTTGAATTTTAAGTATTATTATAAGTTAATCAATAAATATTCTTTAGAATATTATTTTATTCTTTCATTTCTAGTTGACTCTAAATTATCATTCTCAAATTTACTTTATTAAGATTAATATTACTTTAAAAATTAAAAAATTCCATTAAACAAACAACATAAATAAAATTATCCTTAAATACGTTGAAAATGAAATATTTATATTATTATTTTCAAGAATAATCTAATTTAATTTATATAAAGACAACTAAATGGGAAGTACATGCAATTCTAATTAAAATGATTCATTATCTGAAGATATTTCTTCTATTTAAATAAATACTAAAGAGAAAGGAATCTAAAATATAAATTAAACAATCAAAGGAAATTTTCAGTAAGTTAAATTAATGAAGGAATACTTAGATGAAGGAATCTAAATCTCTAATATTCAAACTATAATAATACATCCAAGATGTGAATCTGAAGGAGTTAAAGTAATAAGTAAATTGATGAAATTTGATAATCAAATAACACTTATATCAAAAAAAATACCAGATAGCCCTATTTCAAGTGCAAAATCAATTTCAAAGAAAGGAATTTTAAAAAATAAATAAGAAATAAATATATCTAAATCAGTAAATGGAAGTTTGTTCTTTCCATCTCCATAAAGAATAATTAGAACAAAAAATAACAAAAGTTGAAATTAGGGATAATTATATGATTCAAAGAAATTTTAATCATAATTTTAATAAAATATAATATTTATATTATGATTATTCATACTTTGGTTTCATAAACAAAAACTCTAAAAATTTTAGTTGGAATATTGAAATCTTTATTTAATTTTTCCTTGTTTACAATTTTCAATTGAGTTTTACTTAACAATGTTTCAAATTCTTTTTCATATGTTATTTATCCAAAATCAATTGTTGTGAAATACTTAATTTTAGGTTTAATATACTCAACAAATTACAGGAATGTTGAATTTTTCTTACTATCAGGTTGTAGAGTCAATATAAAATAAATTGATCCTCCTTGATTAAGCAATGATTTTGCTAATTCAAGTGCTTCAATTCTTTTTGGCATAAGCATAAATGATGAGGAAAAGACAACAGCATCAAATTTTCCTTCTTTTTTTTCAGTCACTTCATAAAAATTTTGATATCTAATTTCTAATTTACGTCCACCTAAATTATAATTTCTGAAAATATTATTTGCCTTTAATACATAGGCTTGATCAATATCCACTCCTAAGACATCACAATTAGATGGTAATTAATTCCATATATGTTTTAATGGAGATCCTGTTCCTACACCAATATCTAGGATTCTTTTAGGATTTCTTTGATTCATATAAAAGACTAATCTTTCATAGCTATATTTTGTTAAGAAATTTGAGATTATCATATCATAGATTGTTGATGGAACAACATATAATGTATGAAGAATTTTAGTTAAGAGAGTCTAAATGAATGATGCCATTAAATAAAATATTAATTTATAAATGAATAATTAAAATATCCTTATATATATTAATTTCTAGATTAATCTATTTGATCATAATGATGATGTAGCAATAAGTAATTATTTTTTAGTGATATCAATTACATTCCAAAAAGTATAAATTATATTAAATTAAAAAAAAAATGTCATTGTTATTCTTGTTCTAACTATTGTCATTATACAATTGCATTCATTTTTAATAGTCTTATCTCTACTTTAATGAGATTGATAAGTTATAGCAAATAAGTAAAAATTTGTTAAGTGGTAAACCATGCAATTTAGAAGCTTTAAATGCTTGTGCTCTGAAATTATATATGCTCAATAATGATGATTATACAATTAGGAATCTAGGTTATTTTCATTTATTTGGTTTCCCAGAAGATTAAGGAAATGAATATTTAGATTTTTGTTAAGAATTTGGAGGATTTTCAGTTCCTCTTCTTAAATAGAATGAAAGTTTAGCTTACAATTATTTCAAATTAAGCAATAAATAAGAAACATAAGTTTATATAGCTTTTATAGATTGGATGAATTTTAAGAGAGGTGGATCTATACCTAGAAGTATTAGAAAATTAAAGAATCTAGAAAATACATTTGCAAAATTAGCTTATTTCAATTACTAATATAATTGTCATCGATTTAGACATATACCTGAATTAGAAATTAGTTAAAGATTTGAAGAGATGTATAGTGAAGCAGATTGTTAATAATGTGATTAATTGATATTAATTGGATTTCAAATAGGTGAGACAGAAATATAATATTATCATGATGTGATACCTAAGGTAGAATTAACACTTGAAGATTATTTACTTATAGAATAATAAGCAATTAATGGAGATCCATAAGCATAACTTCAATATGCATATTAATTTTATGCTGGAAATGATTAATTGGGAATCAATAGAGATGTAGATAGAGCAATGTAAATATTTTCAAATATGACTGTGAGTGGAGAATCATTACATAATCAAGCTCTCTTACATGTAATGAAAGGTTAATATTAAGAAGCTTAAATATTATTATAACAAGCAATTGAGAAATTTTAGATGCCTGATTCTTATAATTTATTAGGTTATATGTATTTATAAGGTCTTGGTGTGGAATAAGATTTAAGAATGGCTTAGTCTCTCTTTTAATAAGCTATAGATAGAGGATTTGATGCAGCTGCAGTCACTCTTGGAATAATGAAAATGAATTAGAATGTAATTGAAGGAGTAGAATTATTATTGAATGAAACTGAATATAATGCAAGATGGGCTTTAATTTAAGCTTATGTAAATTTTTAGAAAGTTTTGGATAATAAATTTGGATGTGAAAGATTCTTAAATATTACAAGAGAGTTTATTAAATAAATTATTTATCCAGTTATGGAAATAGAAAAACCTTTACCTAAAGATCCAAAATCTTAATATATAATGAAATAATTTAGGGCATTTCTAGGAATAATTGAACCAATAGATTTAGAGGAATAAGTTCTTTATAGAATTGAGGGTGCAGCCACAGCACTTGCTCATGATTTAACAGATTTGGAATTAAAAAAGAAATTCTATTAATCAGATCTCTAACCAGAAAGCTATATCTCACTCTCATAGATAGAATTTTAATAAGGAAATAATACATAAGCATATTATTGGATTGATCAATTAATAAGATAATGTATTGAAGGTAAGTATGAGTAGGACACATTGTTTGTTGCTTATATATGGAAAGCTTGGATAACCTTAGTGAATATATTTTATTGATTGTTTAGTTACATATATTCATATTATTAATTATATATTATAGTTTATTAATTAGAATGGAATAAAAATCTTCAAAACGAATTGTTTCATTGGATTCTAATTTTGAACATGCTGAATTCATATCAGCTAGAACAGATACTAAATAACGTTTAGGAGAATTATTTATTTAACATCCTACTAAATTGGAAAGTATTAATAATATAAATTATACATTAAGTGTTTGGTTTGAGATAAGTAAGTTCTAAAATACCTAAATTCAAACATCAAAAACCTTTATTTGAATTACCTATGAGTGATACTTAAAGGTCTATAACTAATCAAACAACTTCTATTATTGATTGTAGTAAATGTAATTAAAGTCTTTCAAAAATGATCAATAATAAATATCATCATGAATAATTGATTCTCTCTTAACCTACTTTAGTAGCTGAAGAGAAAAAAGAATTATAAGTGTAACCTCCAAAAAGATTAGTTAGTCATCATGGCAGATAAAAGAATGACTTACCTCCTATATTAGCTCATCCTAATATTTCACCACCTCCTTATTTTCCATAATCTCCAAAAATATAAAGAAAATAAAAAACTCTTGGAAAATTATCATTTGGAAGAATCTCTAAAAAACTTGATCATGATCTTATTTAAGGCATTTAATAAGAACTTCAAAAATAATTAAATAATACTCTTTAAAAAGATTATCCAATTACTAAAATACTTTAAAAGCATGTATTTATATTTATAATTAAGTAAAACTTAAAAAGATCCAAATTAATTACTCTTAGCCAAGCCATCAAGGATTTTAAAAAATCAGTATCGACTGAAGATAAGTCAAATACTTTTGAACTATTTAAATTAAAAGAGAAGGAATTAAATTAATTAATATCTGGGCATAATTATGAAATTTATTAAACTATTGATGATATAATATGATTAATAATATTTTTAATTAATTAAATATTTACTTACGGATTATTGAAGCTTATTTATAAAAATTTTAAGTCATCTTGAATTTGTTTTATATAATGTACAACAAAGCCCTTGTTTTGAAATAAAGACCAGATGAAACATTTCCATAAAATATGGACTTTTTTGAAGTTCGAGAAGTCCCTGTGCCTGAACTTAATGATGGAGAAATCTTAATAAGAGTATTCTATAAATTCAAAAAAAGGTCTTGTATATAGGAGTTGATCCAGTTATGAGAGTTTGGCTTTCTGGAGCTAAAACCTATATCGATGCTGTATAAATAGGATAAGTCATGCCTGCTTTTGGAGTTGGAATAATTGTAGAGACCAAATAACCAAAATGGGATGTAGGTAAAAGAGAATTTCTAAATTTTAGGATAAATAGTATTTGGAGTCTTGGAATGTGCAAACCTCTGTAAAAGACAAACCAAACCATTATTTAAAGTTCCACTCTTTGAATTAGGTGATCCAAACATACCACTCTTGTTATCTATTTATGGAGTCACAGGACTTACAGCTTTGAATGGAATGAAACTTATTCCATAAGATCATATACCTACTTCTGAGAGATAGAAAACATTTTGTGTATCGAGTGCAGCTGGATCAACAGGATCTATAGCTCTGTAGATTGCAAAACATATGGGATTTAAGACAATCGGTATTGTGAGTGGAAGAGAGAAGAAAGATTTCGTTTTGAGTTTGGGAGCAGATGATTGCATTACTTATAATGATTGTAAAGAAAATGATGAGATAATTGTTGAGTATGGAATATGATTAAATTTAAGCAAATTAACATAAGAAATAAAAAGAGTAGCTCCAAATGGTATAGATGTATATTTTGATAATGCAGGAGAAGAAGTACTTGATGCTGTATTACCAGGAATGGCAAAAGAGGGATTAATTTTATTATGTGGAGCTACATCTACATATAATGCTTGGAAAAATAGAGGAGGATTGACAAATTTGGCATCTGCTATAACATAATAAGTTAAATTAGAAGGTATAATTGAATATTAGTTTGTTTAGGCATCATATTTTATTAGGATTAAGCTAAAATTTATAGTGGATTTTCAGATATGATTGAATTAGTTAATGATGGAATTATTAAACATTAAGAGGAAATATATTATGGAGTAGAGAATTTTGTTCAAGGTTTAAAGAGAGTCTTTCTTGGATAGAATATGGGTAAAATCATTATTTAAATTGAACAATAAGTTGAACATTAAGCCAAATTATGATTATATTAATATATTGTTTAATAATATTATTATAAAAATAATTTATAATAATTATTTTGTTGGAATGTCATAATACCATTATTTTCATTATTCCCATATCTCTTAATATTCTTTCAATTTCTATATTCATTTATGGTGGACCACAAATTAAATAGTTTGTTGAGTTATGCTAATCAGGTATGTGTTCAATAAATGTCTATTGTGTAAATCTAGTTCCAATTATTGGACATTCTTTTAATTTAAAATTGCCTTTAATAATCAACTTAAAATTAGGAGTGTCTAAATATTACTGTAATGAAAGCAAAGCAAAATAAATATCTCTTCCAATCTATATATATATATTTATTTACTAAATCATCAATTGAATTAACTGCTAAAAACATTGTAATTGTAAATTTCTTAATCTCATTAATACCTAAATCTATTAAATTAGATGCCTCTAAACCAAGTTTCATTTAAACAATCTACCTATAAGACACTCTCAATTAATAATCTAAAATATCTAAAAATGGAAATAATCCTGTTCCTCCAGCAATAAATATTAAATGTGAATCATTTTCAATTTAAATAGAATTTCCATAAGGACCTTCAATAATATATTATCCTTATCTATTATCTTCATGAATGAAATTAGAAAAACCTTATTTTGTTTCATATTTCTTAATTATTAAAGGTAATTCATCTTCAAACTCTTCCAATTTAGGTATATCTTTGTGAATTGGTTATAAATTGATTATCTTTTTAAATAATTCAAGTATATCTTTTCTATATTTCACTCTTTTATTTGTCATACTTAATACCATTGTATATTATCTTTAATGAATATCATCATTATCATCTGACTTTATAATGAAATAAGACCCAAAAGTATCTAATCCATTAATAGTATTTCTAAACTGAAATTAAGTATTTGTAAATTCAAATTTAGCAATATTAGAAGTATATGGATTAATTCTAGTTAAAATCCAAATAGCTTTTAATTTCTTTATTGGTCTTTGAGTACTTTTATTGTAGAACAATTCTAAATCCTTATTGACATAAACACCAGTTTTATATTTTTATAAAGCCTTTAATGCATAATTACTATGACGATAAGGTTTTATAGTTAATTAAGGTACAGAATAAGCTCCAAGTACATACTAAGTAATATCTTAACCTTAAAGTAATTTCCAAATATAATTGCCACCAGGATGATTCATTTATGATAAATCAATAATTTGATTATGATAAATGCACCATAATTAATTTATTTTATTCTCTTCACATTCACTATAATTTATTTTTTAAAGCAAAGATTCTTAATCAGGTAGAACTTTATATTTTTTGAATTAAGAACTACTAGAATTATTATTTGTCATAACCATTAATGATCCTCTTTAATAGAGTACTTCCAATATGAAACGAATAGTTAAAACTGCCCCTAGAATTAACATAAATCTTATATCATTATCCATGAATAATCCAGCAATTATTTAGATCTTACCAAATATATAGACAAGACTTCCAAAAATTGCATGATAAGATGGTTTTACAGATACTTTTTCATTCTTCTTATAAGAAATAAGCATTATATTATACATTATACCACCTATGCATTGAATTATCATGCAAATAGCTAAGATCATAAATAATACTATATGGAATTTATTCTTTACTGACTCCTCTTTATAATGTTTCCATTCCAATATCTCCCAATTAGTATTCAACATAAAGATTGCTGTTGTTAAGGAACTTGATATTATTAAAATAAATAGAATTCCATGCAAATATGTTCTATATCCCCAAGTCTTAAAATATCTTCCAATTATTATTGCTAAATCACTTGCTATACCCCAACAAATAAAATTAGTCCATTTATGTAATTGATAATATTTATTTTCATCTTCTATTTCAACATCTATATCTCCTCCTTTATCAATCATATCAATTTTCACCCATCCATTATTACCCTTACCATGATTTGAAACCATCAAACTCTAATCATTTTTACCATGTGCCCATATAAAATCAACACCTTTTTCTTAAATTAAATCCTTATCATATTTGTCCCCTACATAATAGATTATTTATTAATACCTGTAATTGATTTCCTTTTAAATTTCACTCCACTTTTACCATTCTAATTATAATAATAACCCAAAATTTCTATATCATTTGTACCACCTTAAGAAACATCTGTTGGTGGAACCTAATGTTTTGTAGAATGTGAATCAGTTCCAATAATTGCATTTTAATCTATCTCAAATACCCAAAGATCTGCATCACTCATAGATTATCCTAACCCTAATGAAAAGTAACTAATCTTATCGATCTCAATCATCATTGTTACTTCTTTTTAGTCTTAATTGAACTCAAAATAGAAATCAATAATTGTGTCTACAATTCACCATTATATATACTAGATTCTGAGATTTTTGCATGAGTTCTTGGCTTACTAATATCATTACTAGGATCATGATAATAAAATATCTAAGAACCTAGTATAATATCTAATATTATTCCAAAAAGTAAAATTCTTTACATTCTTATAAATAATTTATTTATTTAATGTGATGTAAAAACACTAAATTTAAATGATTACATTTATTAAACTATAGAACAATCTAAATATTATAGAATTAATGAATTCATTAAAATTAGCAATATAAAAATAAAATATTATTTGTTTTTTATTCATTATATTTATTTTGAGATGTTTCTTCACTATTTAATAAGAAATATCATATTATTATAGATTACAATATCCTCCATTTATATTAATATAATTATTATAAATGGATACATTAATCAAAAAAATTAATTA